TGCTGTTATTATTCGATGTCTCACCCTCCAATTGTTCTCATTCCATGGCAACGAAATCGAAACATTCAGCTCGCAAGTCGCACTTCGTTTTATTAACACACGCTCGATAGGTTTCTTATATTTTTCTTTGCCCCAAGTACTGTAGCTTTCAAACTTCCTATTTTGTACTCTCATCTAAATAATATCGAATTTTTTTATTTCATTTCAGTTGTATGAATTCCAATTTGCACTGCAGTCAATTTATCAGTTATCAAACGCAGAAATAATAAAACACTTTGTGCTTTTGTATGAAAATTTTTCTTCCTTCAAAATTTATTTTACTATATTTTATATATTAGAGAAACGAGGAAAAAAAACGTACACAGAACGATAATCGTGTAAAAGACTCGGTCTGATAATTAAATTTTGTTTTATAACAATTGAATCGTATAATATAAAAATTCTGTTATAATATCCCTATTCAATTTTGCTGACATAAATTAATTATCTGTGGGGTATCCTACGCGCTTTGTTGAAATTATTTTTCACTTTAAAAACCAGCCAATAATCCACAATTTTTTGTCGTGTAATATCTACTCGTCCTTATCAAGGAGGGCGGTTTTAAAGATTTTTACCGAGGCATGGAAACTCACACGCAAGGGGATTGAATTTCCAAGCTATCTTATCCCTTTACCATTTCCGTCTCGTCGCGAGAGATCTTCGACGATCGCACAGCCGTTCTCTCGCGTGACTCACCACCGCGTGAGGGGGTGAGGGTGCAGCCCCTTCGAAAAACAGCGCACCCGCTACTTCGACGTCTGATATTTCGACTCACTATCTGCGGCCCCCACAAGGGGGTTGCGTGGGATTAGAAATACCCTCACGGCCCGGCATGCATTATAGATGCTCGCGCCTTAGATTAGAAGAGGTGGTGGTGGGCGTGTGGTGCACGGTGCCCAGCGAAAATAGTCCACTCGTAAAGGCAATAGCTTTTATACGTTTCAGACCGCTGTGTATTTTAAGCGGACCGATACGATGCATGCGCGGGATAGTGCATGATACATTTGACATTTGTTTGAAAATGTAACAAAAACTAATAAATAAAATTGGTACATTGTACTATAAAAAAGAGAAGATTTTTTTTTCATTTGCAATAAAATTTCTCTATGCTCGTAGCGCTACACTGAGAAAAATATTTGGTACGTATAATTATTTGTTCTGTTGATATGTGACTAACAAACCTTTCTTATTTTTTATTCTAATCAAATTTTGATTAAAACAATTTTTTAATAAAAAAGTAAGAAAGTTTTTGTTAATCAGATATCAACAGAATAAATTACACGTACCCAAACATTTCTCTCAGTGTACGAGATATTGATGCAGAGTATATATTATTATTAATTATTACGTTATGTAGTTTATAATGTAATCGATATCTCGTGTATACCTAACTTCGAAGAAAGTATTTCATAATAAATAAAAAAATCTTCTCTTTTACTCTATTAATTCAACATTCGATACTTTTAATAAGCAAGTTTTCCAATATACTAAATAATATTATAATACATAAAAAGAAAGGTATTAAAAAAGTATAGCATGCCGTAGCTATTTACACTCGGCAATTATTAAGATGTTACGGCTGGGATACTGGCGAATAGACGTATACATTAATAGCCATCCATTTACGGTGAGCAATTATAAAGACGTAGCATCTAACGGGCTGCGGAAGGAAGTGCGAGGAAAAAAGAATGAAGGAAGAGGCTTGTTAAACACTCCGAGTCCATATCATCTCTATGTGGCGTGTGTATAGAGCGTGAAATACTAACGAGCGACCATCATCAAACAATGGAAACTGGAACGAACAGAGAACACGTTTCAGCAGTAGCTATCAGAATCTTTTAACTGTTCCAGCGCCACAATATGCCGGGTAATCAAATATCTTATTTTTTAGCCCATAAATCTCGCGCTTCAGATGATGCCAAAAGAGGAGCTGCGAAAGTAATTATGGCTTCGTGCTTTGGATACAATAAATCGCCGTCGATCGGAACCCTTTAAGAACATCGATGGGTAAATCGTGTTATGTATCTAGAAGGAAGTATATAAAGAGATAATTTTATGTTAATAAAAATAAAATGTGAAGCTTCTGCCTCTTCGCATGCGACAAGTTCTACTGTAAGTGCCATTAAAAATTCTAGCCGCGCCACCGCCGCGAACAGAAATTCCCATTTCGCGCGACGATAAGGCGAGAGCAGCTTCTAAATCCCGCGTCCTGTCTCCGCGGTCAACGCTGATAATAACAATAATAGATGTCCTCATCTGCAATTACAATAAGCAGTTAGCGGGCTATAAATCACAAAGTAGTCCGCCCGCGCGATGAAATCTTTCTTTCCGCACGTACCGTTGTGGAATAAGGAAACTTTTTTCTCGTCTCGGCAATTCCGAGGGATCGTCCTCCTATTCCGGAAGTTAACAATATGCGGGGAAGGAGGAGGAGAAGGAGGAGGAGGGATTAGTCTGCGATTCGTAGACCGGCTATTTAATTAATCATGAACCGGTAACTCGTCGCAATGTGCATAAAGAATCCTCAGTCTGAAATGATGATCTTCGAACAAGACAAATTCCGGTAATTAGTTTTCATAATAAGTGATTGAGTAGAGAGAAAACCGTGAATCAGTTTGAAGAAAGTACAACCGAAGAAGATGCCGTTCACGCTTCGTAAAACTTTAGTACGGTAAATTTTATTCGGCTACGATCGCACGAATGCTATTCAGCAATAATTCGACAAATAAATCGATGCCATCTGTGTTATTGAATGTCTATCAATGGTGCTTTTGGTGTTGTCAAATTTATCGTAGATTCACCGAAGGTTACTGCCTTCGAATCTTTTGCTAATAATTTGTTATTATATATATTTTGTAGATATTTCCAATTTATTACAGAATTATGTCAACGTGTTAAACTCAGAAAAAACTGTTTTCTAAAATAAGAATTAAACGATTCATGGATATCTTATAAATTGTGCAATTTACATGAACTATAACTGCTCAGTAACTGCTGGATGTATCTGTAGCTATTAAAGAAGTTATTGATTATCGAGTTATATTTCAGGATTACTGTCATTCAGACTTACTTTCTGATTATATAGAAGTTTAAGACAATTGCTGGCTAATATCGATTGTCGTTACTTCATAAATTAAAATAGCTTTGCGAATAGGATTTATTATTTACGATTATTTCTTTAATTTTTTAAAATAATTATAGCTTCGCGTATTTGATTTATTGAAATTATCACTGGATGTATTCATCTGGAAGCGAGAATATGCGGTATATTAAAGGCTCTTGTAATACAACTCCTTATTTAAGTCTGTATGAAGTCGTGCACTTGTGATTCATGAAATTTAAATTTTGTTCTTTTACCGCAAGATGGACGTACCGTTACGTTTGTCATGCTCGATGGAATGAGTGCAACGGGTTGCTGTTTGACAGGAAATTTTGCGGAAATTAATTATTTACTCTACTTGTCATTTTTATTATCTGCGTATTTCTTAATTATCTGTCACAAACGATCTTGAGTAATATAATAAACAGAATATTTTTGATTGATGACAGTGTGTTTTTCAGAACTATCAATATAAGGTCTAAGAAAACTGTCGAAGAATTTTATCTTGATAAGCATGCTTTAAAAAAAAGATTACGCAATTGCATGAATATTGATTAATTCGGAGATTAGATTTGTGATAACCGATTTGTTGAAATAACCCGAAATTATTTTGTGGAAATCAATTTATTAAATCTTTATACAAGAATATATCAAATTTTATTGAAAGTAACTACAGTATATAAAAAAATTAATTTACATATTTATGAATGTTAATGGATAACAAAATAGACTTCGTAAACTCGAGTTACATCTATTACATAAGACAATAATCTGGGAATTCTTTTCGTGGTTAAAATTTTAATTGACAACAAGAAAGATTAATATTACACGATTAACAAATATATACCTTCTTCTTAATTGTTATAAACGACATTTTTGCTTGCATAGTCGACGGTGCGAATTCTATTCTATCGTTAAATAATTGTATGACTGCTACTCGGTTGTGCGAATATAATTATAAGGGATAATATAAAGTATAGCACCTGTGCATTTCGAAAATTACGACTTGCAAATATACCAATTTTAAAAGAGAACACAGTCTAATTGTAAAATAAATAGAATCCTATAGAGCAATATGAAAAATAGAAATTAAAAAAAAAATAGAAGAATAGATTAAATAAAATTGGACGAGTGCTTCTTTAGATATACAAGTCAATATTCTTTATAAATAACAATACTTTCCACACACAAGTCGTAATGATGCTATGTATACGTACATTATATATATACAGAAGCACTTTTTCGTACATAAAATATATTATATTTGCTTCGATCTATACGCGTCACACGCTTAATATGAATCCGCAATCGGAAACGGGATATATAACAGGTAGTATGGAAAATAATGCGGTATTAGCGATAAATATATGAATCTGTCGGTGAGAGTAAAGCTCGGAGGTGAAATTGTTATGATAGAATCGCAGATCGTAATAATTTATTCGATACGTTGCGTAAGAGAAGCGTGATCGCGGGAAAGCATCATTATACGGAAGTACTAACCCAGTAGATATAAGAGGGAACACGATCGTAAGCGCGTCCCAGATATACCGAGTGTTAAAGAAATTGCGTTAAACCCGTCCGTTTACTTATGAAAATATTTATTGCTACTTGAGGCCTTTCGAAAAATGTCTCTCCCGCGTAAAACTAAAATTTCATAGTTAGTTTTACATTAATAATTATCTCCAAGTCGTAAGCCTACTGTTAGACTCGAGGTAGCGGAATTGCATAAAATAGTCTTTGAAGAATGACGTAAAACGTCACTGCTTTCACCATTGTCTCTTCGTTACCGTTGTCACTTGACTCGGCTTCTTTACTCTTTTCTCTTTCTGTATTTACGACAAAGTGTCATTAATTTATCATTAATAGTTGATCCATTTCCGGAGAACGTTGCACATTCTCTGTTTTCTAAAGATAGAACAAGCTCGATACAAGCGAGACTTTCGGATTATAAAACAATTGTGATCGTTTCATCGCGATAAGTATAACAACAGTTCATCATGCCTGCAAAATATTTCACAATCCGTTTTCCTAATTTTAATTTTCCAAAAGTACCACGAAAGAAGCGTGTCGCTCGTCTTAATAAGCACTAAAATTTCAGTCCTCGCTAGTAATCGCCATCCACAACTGGAGTAGAAATTCTCGGATGAAGCTGAAACTTCAATAGGAACACCCTTATTCTCAATTCCTCTTGCTGGAATTGATGAGATACTTGCAACAGTGCGTGAGTAGATGCTTTTCGCCAGTGACGTCGTGCTGAGCGGTGGGTGAGACCGTGGATTCTCTGGTATAGACATCCAGACCGTACTGACCCTCCTCGGGGAAACTTATGGAGAAGGTGACTACGTCGTCGTCGGCGATAGAATGCGTTACATACTTGGACAGGCGCTTCTCCTCAATACCGTTCTTGTGCAGGGTCGCCATGAAGTCCGTCAACGGCCTCGACATGCGGAATTGAATCTCCAGCTCGCGCCCGGCGAACACCAGAGCTTCCTAAAATCAATAGATCGTGCGATTGTAAACCGTCCGCCTGACAGGTTTGATAAAATCGGAAGATTCCTTTTTCTTGGCAATCTTTCTTGACTCTTCTTTTTTTCAACTTGGTACTTTCATACGTGAGAGAAAAGAGCGGAAAGGAAATTTATTCTTGTGGAACTGATTGTGGACCAAAACATAACAAAACTTTTGTCTTATATAAAACATATATGTAACAAAGTTACATAATGCTATGCTCGATAGAAAAGTTTATTGTATTTTACATTGTACTAGAATCAGCTTAATTTTTTTATTTTTGAAAAAACGTGCAATCAAATTGTTTCTTTATATTTATATTAATAATAAGTAATTATTAATTATTTAAAATTTTGTACGCATTATTATACAATTGATATTTTAATTTAACTATTATGTGGATATGTTAAGGAAATAGAAGTCTATATATATCTTTTAAATTACTTTATATAATCTGTATTGATATCGATTTTTGCCCTAAATTAATTGTATAATTAATAAAGAACGAACCAATTTGATTAATTAACGTACCTGATGAGTGATGGGTATAAGACCAAATAATCTGGTAGCTTTGGTGGGACCCCATTCGCCACTGGCGCAATCTGGCAATGGTACCATCACCGTCTGCAATTCTTCACATGCGATTTTGAATTTGCAGACGCTTTTGAATTTCATCGGTTCACCAGTCAAGTATTCCTTCGGCGTTACCGCATTGGCGAATATGTCCAAAAGAAAGGATCCGGAACACGGCGCGTGAACTCGAAACGCGACTATATTTCCCACAACCGACTAAAAAATTTCAAATTTGTTATATATATGCCGAGACACTACCGTGTCTCCAGATATATATATAAATGTTTCAAGAATTATATAAATTAAAATTAATTTTTTCTGTTTTTTAATTTTCGAATTAAGTATTTATAAGTCTCAAAATAGGCTATTAAAAAATCATTAATATTTCATATAAATTTCATAATATTTTAAAATCAAAGTAACGCAATTCAAGTCGCTTGACATCATCATTAATACGGAGGCCGCAGACTATTAATTTACCTGCATGACAAAACGTTTGAGTGACACACCGTCGTAGCCATCGCCATCGTTATCGTAAAACTTGAGATTGTAATGAAAGATAAGGGATGATTGCATATGTGCTGGCATCGCTATCCTCACGGTCGCAGCACCAGTGGAATCCGTATACATAACGGCATTCGTATTTGTATCCGGAAAGTAAAGGCCGTACCTGTGCACGCAGAATTTATCCGAACGGTATTTTCGCCGTGCAACTTACGATCATTGTTAATAGACCAATCTCACCATGCTTGCGAGAGATAGTCAGTTTAATTACGTGTTCTAACGGTCTTTAAGCGCGCTTCAATGGACAGATTTAATTCGTTAAGACGTGATACGCTTGAAGTTGTTATTACCTTTGCTAAAGGATTTCGCACTAATTATATGGAAAATTAAATCTCGGTGAAATGAGTTGGTTTTCATATATGTTGTAAATTATAATGTGCTGAACAAGAAATGTTATATACACATTGCTCAAATAATAGATAATTCTTAAGTTATGATGCATCTAAAATGATTAATTGCGAACATAAGTTTTATATTTTTGATACTGCTATCTATTATTTAAATCATGTGTATTTACATCTTTGTTCATCACATTATAAATTATTATACGCTACATATGTGAAAACCACTTCATTTCGCCGAGATCCAATTTCCCATGTAATTAGTGCAAGGTCCTTTAAAGTGATGTGAAATTAATGGCAGTATATAAATTGCACGGAGTTGAACAGTGCATTTCGCGTGAAAAATGAATCATGAACGTTACAATTAATCTGTGTGTAGATTCAGCTTTCTCTCTTATTTCTCGTATGTTCCACAAAAAAAAAGAAAATAGAAATGTGTGTGTGCTGCCTTACCTGAAGAATAAAGACCGTACGAAAGGCAATTCCTCAAAATCCTTCAGTGAAATCGGCTGTTTAAGCAACTGCCAATCCTCTTGCAGAGGGAAGAATTCGTATATGAATTCTCGCGGGTCCGTCAGGAAGTAATGGTCATCGTACTCATACCTAAGTGAAATGTCTTCGTGATCACATCGATCGTTTTATTTGCACACGCAAACGCTGCAATCACGATACCGCTGATAATTTTTGTATATCGTTACCTGAGGCTGTCGTTCTTCGCTTTCGCTTGACCGGGACGGGGAACCTCTTTGGCATTGACGAGATGTCGTGCTCCCCAATTACACTGGACGAACCGCCATGCACCTGCCACATACACGGCGTTCCAGCTGTTCCGAAATCGATTGTCCTCGAAACAAACCCCCGGTTGGTAGCCCGCCGATTTACTGTAACCCTTGATGACCACGCAGTGCAAACCCGCATAACTGCATTCAATGTTATTAACGATTTAGATACCATCAATTGAGACGAATGAAATATATAAATGTCGAATATTTCGATAATTAATCCTTAATTAATCTCTCTATAGATTCTATATTATTTGTGTTTTAATCTCGCGTTTCTATTGCGAGTTTATCGGAATGGAACTAGTAGGTATAATAATATAATAAAAAAATAAAAAATTTATATATACGTCAGCTTTCATGTATGATTACTTTAATGTAATATATTTTAGATTTTTTAATTTATGGAAATAATTTGCATTTATTAATTCCATTATTATCATTTTTATAAAAATAAAATTACGCAAACTTTTTTTTCAAATTTAAAAAGCATGATATATATTTTATTCTAACAATCTATCACTAAATTTATATGTTCAAGGAAACATGAATAATTGCATATGTACATTTTGCAAAGTAGAGTTTTCACTATGTACTTTTACAGAAATTGTTTATATAAGGTATATATACACGGAGAGAATTTTTTTCTTAGAATTTACCTTGCAAATATGGTAGTTATGGGACAACATTGTATTTCGAAGAATTTTATGTAAATCTCTCTTATTCACTAATAAAACTACAATAAAATATATAAAATAAGTTTGATTAATTTTACTGAAGTGCATAGTAAATATCTTTAAAACATTGTATTGTACCACAACTACCAAATTTTCAGGGTAAATTTTGAGAGAAAATTCTTTTCGTATATCATCTATTTTTTGTAATATTATCGTTAGCATGCGGTTACCTGCACAATCGTTTGAATAGAACATGGTAACTTTCCGTGCCGTGTTTGATGCCCCTCAAAAGACCCATGGGAGTGTCACCCCGTAAGTTTTCATCAAACTGCATAGTGTTCAGATTTTTCACGGTGATCCATCGGAATATTGTCCTCGCCTTTTCTATATCCGATCCGCATCTGCTCACCAACTGTCGCACTAAGTCAGTGAACGTTTTTTGATCTTCTTGGGCTACCTAAGAACAACACAAGATAATGTAAATTACTTAGTATGAGTAAATCTTATAAAAGCGACGTTAAGAGTACGGTGTTTGTCTTAGTCGCTTATGCATACAATCCAATATGAATAACATCTCCAGAAATTAGATGTAAGAATGGAAGTAAAAACATTAATATCGGATATATTTTAAAATGACAAAAAGAAATTCCTCGAATTTAAATCCATTTAAATAAAACGCACGATAAACTAAAATAAAATGTTATAATGCAAAAGACGATAGTACTTTCAGAATACTTGCGATAAACCGTATACCGTAAAATCTCGTCCCGGTGCAAGAAAGATGACTCGCGAGAGGAAGCTAGCGCTGAAAGAATTCCGCGGTAAGGTCTTACCGAAATAGCTATCTGATCCATGTCGGCGAACTCTAGGGGATCATTGTAGATATGGTACTTGGCGAGGGCTGGTGGCTGCGGGGGTGGCGCGCGAGATGGATAAGGCGGAGGCGGCGCTTCCTGAGTATAACCGTCTCCTTCGTCAAGGTATAAACTCTCCTGTAGCATGTATTCGCTTCTCGCCTCATTGATCAGCTCCAGCATCTCCGAGCTCTGTTTCTCCACCAGCGCGGCGGTTGCCGCCCTATAAATTGATCAGAAGTAACGAGGAGCTTTTGTGTTGAGCGCGAAAATCCGGCTTCCCGTTCGCGAACGCCAACGCACGCGAGCTTGTTTATCGTCCGGAAGAAAAAAGAAACCAAAAAGAATATAAAGCTGAAGCTACCGCGGCTCGTAAACGTGTTGCACACGTAACTCTTCTTCGTGTTCTTTCGTAAAATGCATGGAATCGATATTCGTAATCTCTTTTGAAATTGTCGACTGTTATAATATATATCATGTAATAAATAATGTACAAATTACGAATTATTATACGTATAAAGTATAAGAATGTATGAAAAAAATTATATTGACTATACATATACACATATATTTGAAAAATTTCCAGATAAAAATGCTAAAAAATCAGCGAATTCGGATATTAGCTTTTATTTACATCAGGCTAAATTTCTTTTTCTTCTTTCTGATACACATAATAGAACGGCATACGATTGAAAACTATTATAACATTCCTCTTTCTGAATCGCCTGTAGCTTATGTTTTTGATCTTGGATCGCTCAGATGACATTAAAAAAAAACTTTCCTTTTAGATACAATTTTATCTTAAAATAGGTAATAAAATGAAGATTGTCGATGCCAGTTCAGATAAATACAAAGAATGGTGAATCACTGCGACCTGTCGTTTGGTCAAAAACTGCGAGATTGTCCTGGCTGTGTGTGCATTCACACATTCCTGTGGAGACATCATTTTCTAAGAGTGTTCAAATCGTGTCTGATATGTCTCAATCATTTCAGAAATTGTTTCAAAACTCTAAATAAAATGAATTTTTGTCTAGAAGCACAAATTTACACAACAATGCGTGTTCCACACAAAGCCAGGATTGTCTCGCAGTTGTTTGCCAAACGACAGATATAATAATCCACCCTCCTAGCAAACTTCTTTTCATTTCTTAATATAAAATTGCGCCTAAAAAGGAAGTTTTTTGAAAATATATTAGCGATTCAAGATGGAATGCGTCTGCTAAAGACAATTCCGAAAGAGGAGTATCTATCATATACGGAAAAACCGATTTTGCTGAGATATCTATAAAAATTTAATTACTTTAGCAAAATTGTTCTTTCCGTGTAGTTTTCAATCATTGTACCACGTTCTATTGTGTATATCGAGAAGAAAGAGGATTATGTAGAAGCTTGATGTGAACTAATGCTGATATTTGAATCATTGATTTTTAGAATTTTTGCTTGAGACCTTCAAACGATATATAGAGACATCCAATTAGTTAAAGCTAATTGTCTAAACCTTAGACAATTTTTCAACTTTTCGAATTATATGTGTATTTGTATCTCACAACGGATTTATTACAGATACTGAAATTATATCTGTAATAAATCCTTTATCAAATATTTACTGTATCAAGTATACCAGATATTTCTGTTATCCTTTACGCTCAATAATTATTTTTTTGTTCAATGAAATAATGAATGCCGTGATGTAAGTATTACCTCTTTGATCTAAAAACAAGTTGTAGAGATATCGTATTAATTATATAATAAATACCGTTCGTGCTCCAGCATCTTGCGCGTGAGACTTTCCTTCTTCTTGTCTCTACGTAGAGTCATGTTCTTCTCCAGATCTTCCTTCTCTTGCTGAAATTGTTGGGTTCGAACTCTTCCGCCTTTTTCCCGTTCCCATCTCGCCGACAATTGTTCCAGTTCCTTCTCCCACTCATCCTTTTCAAACCATGCGTAATATGTTGAAATTTTAACTTCTTATAACATATATAAAAGTAATGCGATTTGCATTTCATAAAATAATTTTTTAATACATTGTTAATTACAAATAATATACGTAAACGTATTAAAAAATTATTTTGTGAAATGCAAATCGCATTACTTTTGTTACAATCCGCTTTAATCATTACTTACTCGGAATTCCTCGCGAATTCGTCGATCCTCTTCTTCACGATGATGCGCAAACTTTCGGTATAAATCATCTTCTTCTTTTCGGTGTTTCATCTCGAGACGCGTCTGTTCATCGCGATCCTAACGCAGTAAAAATGAAATATTATTGAGAAATAATAATTAATTTTTCGTATCTGTGCTTAATTTCTAATCGACAACGGTAATGAAAACATTATAAAATATTATCGTCTATAGCTCTAATATACTGTATAGCTCTAATATACTCTTTAAATTCTTTGGAACGGAATCTCACTTTAAAGAGTGAAAATTGAGCCAGTCTTGAAAAAGAATTGTTCACTTTTCAATTTTTAAGAGTGAGATTTCACTCTTCAAAGTGACAATTCACTCTAAAAGTTTTAGAGAATAGACATTTTATAATTTCATTGTATAACGATGTATTAAAAAATACGCATGATATTCGATAAATATATAATCTACTCTTATATAATTTATTAAAATATATTTATATAAAGTATTATGCAAAAATTTAAATTATATTTATATTATATTATGTAAAAATTATATGAAGAGTATCACATCTCGAACACTCGTGGCGCACTGTTCTCGGTACTGTAATTTTAAAAGGCTAACATATGTGATCGGCATGTTACTAATTAAGGATTATAATGTTGTTATGTGCCAGGAAGCATTCCGTTATTCGTAAGAAGATGGGGTTCGCGGATATAGTCGGATGCAATGAAACGTTTCTTAAAACGCCTGCAGCTCTGGCCTTAGAGGTAGGTACTCCACTTTTTGTATAATTTACTTTCACGTCGCGTTTCTGCTTTCATTCGCTTCCAAGAGAGTCTCCTCGGGGGAGCGACAACCTGCAGCTGGTCGACAAAAGTGAACTAATCCTCTTCCGGTGTATTTTTTCAAAAATGCTACGAGTTCCACTCCGCGATTCTTTTCGCTTGTTGTAGTCCGGAAATATTAATGCAATGAAAATATGAGTAAGGGAAATGTTACTGAGGGAGACAAATATGTTCTTTTGAAGTTGTACGACGGGATTTCTTCAATGCCATCTTTTCAATTTAATTTAAGAGAAACAGAAAGAAAAAAAAGAAGCCAGTAACGGTTTACCACAAATAAATAATTGAAATCCATCTCGAAGAAGATGCCTTATGAAATCTGTCGTAACAGATTTGTTTTGGAGTAGAGTAAAGTAACGCATTATATAATTTTTCTTTGATACTTAGAACGCTAACGAAGTCTACGTCGTACTTATATCATAATGATGCATATCTGATTTGAATAAACGCAATTAGGCTTAATGAGAAGACAGAAAAAGAAAAATTTTGCATACTTGAACGTTGTGTTCTTGTTCAAAACGTAATTTTTACATACACATGCGTAACTTTACTAGCAAAAATTCAATGCTACCTGCATGAAAAATATACTAATGCAACGCAAAATGTAAGAAATAAATGTATAAGACTTCCAAGTACATATGTTGGCAAATCTGCTCGCGACATCTTTCAGAATGACCAGCAAAACTCGAAAGTTCAGCCTGACGTAATTCAAGGCTGTTTTTCTTTAATCGTGTTTTAGGCTTTCCACCGAGAGAGTCACGTTATGCTAGAAGCAGATGGAAGTCCACGCCTATGTAATATTTTAAGTTTTTAACCGTGCGCGAGGCAAAGGCGAGTTTTCCGCGGAGATATTTTGACTCGTTGTGAGAGCTGTTTGCCGTTTAGAGCATATTCCTGGAAATAGGACAACAGCTTTTAATGGATTAATTTTCCCTAAGCGTTTACGCGCGAAGGCGCGTGAGAGACGACGGCCGGGGTACACACGCGCTATCCCCGCTAGCTCTTTACGCGGCCCTGGCAACGATTCTCTAATTAGCCATCAAGTGCAGAAGTACCGCAAGCGGAAATAATTCTGCTTCCCGCCCCCGTTCTCCGCCGTCCGCCTCCTCGCCTCGCCTCTTGCAGACGTAAAGCCTTCCTTCGCGTGCAAGCGGCGCGGTACGTCCCAGCCCGACCGGCGGTTTCGCGTACGGGGGAAATAAGATGACGGTGTACACGCGTTCTTCCGTGGTAACGATTTGAATAATCATGAACGACAACTACGTGCGTCGGCACCGAGCCGCAGCATTGTTCTCGCATCCCAAGGAAAACGTGCGCGACAAGCGGAGGAGTTAATTCGCTCCGAAAGACCTTTACGTGTGCTTCGGTGCATCGTACTCTGATCGATCAAATTATTTTATCCACAGTTGTATCACATATTTCGAGATTACCTTTACGTAGAATATTTATATATTGTTTACACGAATTTTTTTCAAGTAACAATATTAGCAATGTAAATTATTATAAATTGGATAATGCATTATAGAAAAAAGTAATTAAGTTTTATAATTGTTAATATATCTGACTTTAATATTAATAAATAAGAATATATAAATAAAATAGAAATCCAGTGCAGTCTAGTGCAACAACAAAGAACATAAAATAACTTACAATTTGAAATATTCTGAATAAAATAAGATTTTAATCCAATTTTCAAAGTTTAAGTTTTATTTTTTCCTATTTGATACCCTTCAGTATCTCTCACACAATGAGAAGGTTAAACTTAGACCTCGAAAATTGGATTCAAATTTTATTCGTTTAGAAATGTATCGCTTTACCCTAGGCTTATAGATATTTAATCCTTCAAATGTTTAATCTTTATCTCTTTATAGTAATTCATAATTTTTTATATTTAATATTCGTTGAGTTTTGCATTATCATCGAGAAATCTTTATATTTTCCGAAATTTTTCCTCTCGATTCTTTTTAAAAAATTATAAAGCAAGTGTCCACTTTAAATTGAGAAGCAAACACATGTGCATGGTACCACTCCCTGCTCATTTTACACCAGTTTTAATCGTATGGTTCTTATTTGCTTGACTCGCGACGGAGACTGACATATCGGAGTAATTACGGTCGTTCGATCACAGTCACGCGCAGCGATCTGTTACGTGTCCCCGTCGTTCCTGAGATTCTCGGGGCTGTTTCACCAATTAAACATAATGGCGATGGTCGCGATGCCGGCGCGAAAAGATTCATTCGTCACGTCACGTATTTGATTCGAAAAAATTATCTGATCATTGACAGCATGTGTGTGTGTGTATGTGTGTGGGCAGGGTGCCTAGAGTTGATCGTTCAGCTATGTCGTCGGTAGCATGAGAGCGTAGGAGGGCCTACGCGATACAGCGATACGGAACAAATGCCGGATAAATCACGCCCGTTGATTATTCCGCCGCGGGAGAAAAATCGTGATTGTCTTGTAACGCAGTTAGCTACCGCGCTCGTATTGTCATCGCGCGGTCGTCATAAATTTCCGTAGGACGAAGGAAAGGACGCAGGAAATCATCGTGACTCGATTTTATTGGCCGATGCCCACGCCGTTTTCGTTCGCGTAAACGCCATACATAGACCGGCCGGTGTCTAGCTACATAAATAAGGATCGGTCGATCGATCGGCGACAGCGGCAATCTGAACGCGCGAAAGCGCATTGAGAGAAAACGCGGCCGATAGTGGAGCGACTAGCGGCTCGGCCTTATTACTCCGACCGGCGCGCGGATGGGAAAAGCGGTAATCTCATTTTCATGTGAAGTCCGTTCTCTCGCGACGGTTCGCCGCATTCCTACACCGCGCCAGTTGGACGATTATTCGCGTATGGGAGTCACGCGGCGACGGTATGTATGCCGGATCGCGATCGGAAATTCGGAAATCCGCGATTGGAGCTTTCGTGGTTTTGCCAAACCGAAGCTCAGACGTTGAAATTCGAATTCGGTCATATGCGACTTGCATCTCCGATTGTCTCTTGTATTTAATTAGTTGATTATTAATTGAATATTTAATTAATTGATAAGGCAATGTGTTTCCTTCTTCAGTATATTAAGATCATTTATTGACATAACGTGTAATTATTACACAGATATTTATTAATACTATTATCTGTGCGATTCAGTTTTTTCTAATTCAAAAGTACAATAATTTAAACAAAATATGATTAAGGCTGCCTATAATTAAAAACAATAATAAGAAAATACGGACCAGAGAGAATAGGCGCTGTAAACCATACGATGATATTTCAAAAAGAGATCTTTTTTGTTTTAGATCATCAAAAATTTATTACAAAATCCAAAAGTATAACAAAAGTGAATGCCGTAATTGCAGAAAAGTACAATATTTTATATTAATTTGACTGATAATATCTCAAGTTTATCAATTGTTTATTTGAACGTCTTTCTATTGCAGACATACGTAGCATATTGTTTAATATTATTGCAGACATACGTAGCATATTGTTTAATTCCATTGTTTAGTTCCATTCTAAATGATTAGTTCGTTTCCGTAAATACCATTTAAAGTTCTTTAGGAACAAAGTCTAGAAAAAATACGCACCATAATTTAAACCATAGTTTAATTAATATCTGTACAATTAGCCAAGAGAAATCAATCGCTGGCAACTTTGGCGCGAAACGTAGATCTTGCAAGAAAATCAGAAGAGCTGCATCCGCATGCCATTGATCTGGGTTTCATTACTACGGAAGTAGCTGGCAGCCTATTGTGCGTATTTTCGCTCATGCACACAATGCATCTCCTTCTTCCCCTTTGCCCCTGTTTCAGGAAGAAGCTAATAATACCAGCGGGCGGCATATGCGCGCAAAAAGTCAATTACCACGTCGCCATTGTTCGTTCTCCTACGTGCTTCGGAATTATCATTGCTAATTCGCATTATTAATTAACGATTATTTTCGCAGATCTCGCCGCGAAGTGCCGCTGCTGGTGCGCCTTGCCGCGCGGAGCGAATGCGACTGTTGCATCCGTTCGGCGCAACAATCTCCGCGCGATATCGCCGTGTCTTCGCTCGAAGATGCTGACTCGTGATCCCCGTGGAGGAGAACGGTTTTCCGGTTCTCCAGGAAATTGCGTGTTCACAACACACAGCGCGTTAGACGCAATCGCTTAGCTAGCTCGCGGCGTGCCACGCGCGTGTCGGAATAGTAACACTCTCGTCCTTATACGGCGACGACCATGACGAGAGCGATTACATCAACCGCGGCCGAGCGAGCGACCAGTGACTCACCAGATAATAATCGATGGGTTTCTCGCGGGCCTTGCTGTAGCCCTTCTGTAGCTCGGTCTGCTTGAGAGCATGGGCGATGTGCAGAGCGCTCGCATCGAACCTGCCATACTGATAGCTGCCGTCCCCCGAATAATTGTGATTCGAAGAGGCGCCGCCGGTACCTCCGTGGATGCCATCGCGCTGGGACGAGTTAGCCGGCGGCGAACCGTGCCCGTTCAGGTGCCTGGCATAATTAGGCGAGTCTACATTATCGTAACTGCAACAGAAGCGTGCACACGGGTCTTCAGGGGATTGCGAGGGTTCACCGGGCACAGGACCGCTCGGTGAGGTCCCCACTGCGGGGATCGAAAAGCGATAACACGTTAACTCTTCCACATTACCGAAAGTAATGAGATTAGTCCCAGGGCGACCCCCTCGTCGTGTCCCGATCTCGAATAAATTACCTTCATTGCCGTGTTCGTGTATATAAAACTAACATATGAAATATTAATAAAAATAATGTTGCTTAATAGGAAAATTGATTAAAAACGAATGAAAATATTACTTCTTAAAAAAGTAAAAGTAGAACCTAACTTTTTTGCTGCACGGAAACAACGCTTGTGCTTTGTGCTGATTTAAAAATTTAGCTAAATAGAGATCTGATTCTAGCAATCAATTTGAGTGTCTTATATAATTTGACGGTTCTATATAATTTTGACGATCCAATAAAACTATTTTCAAACCCACCTAGCTTTTTAGATACTTCATCAAAACTTCTTTTCGTGAAGAAGACCAAACTGTTTGAGAAAGATTTCCTTCAAGTTCCACTGTGAGTTAGAAAATTTGAACTCAAAGAATCTCTGGTCTCAAATTCTCGAATAAAAAGAATAGATTTGATTGCATAAAAGACGTTGAAAAATTCTATTAATTTTTTAATATAAACTGTCACATCGGATCTGTTAGTTTAATTTTTGAAGCAAAGATTCTTTATGAGTGTATTCTAAGTTAGTAGACGAAAAACCCCCAAGACAGCAATTTTCATGCAAGCCGTATTAGTGTGAGTTAGTTTGTGCAAGTTAATCCGCGATATTGCATAGTTTCAAACTTCAGAAATTCTTCCTACGTTCAACTTTCTTTTCTTGGATATTGTGGAAGTAAGAATTTTGTGTACAATGCACGTATGTGCTGCATAAGGATTAAGAATTGCCGCGAGCGACGTTAGTGTCGGATGATAACGGAATAAAAGCGAACACTTGGAGGTAACGCGGTGTCCTTGATATTGCAAACGTCGCTCGTTACACGATGATGCCGGCAAAGAATCCGGGTCGATGGATTACGTTAACCCACATATCCGCAACAATCGCCACTTCAACTCCTACCCCTCGCACGGGGCTTGACCTATAATTCCGGATAACTGCTATAATACGCGTAATAGACGCAATTACTACGACGCGAATCGCATTGCAATTAGCATCGTGGTTAAACACAACGAGTTGCAATAAATAAAAATCTCACCACAGTGCACAGGCGCGATAGCTTGCGCGCCACGCTTGTGAGAATTTAGTGTATCGCTTAAATGAATGTGTTACACCTCTCTCACTCGGTCTGCTGGGTTCATTCACTCGCGCGAACGAAGCCCATGCTCCTCTTTCCTCTCTTTTTCTCCTTCCCCTCGATTTACCATTTATTGCACTCGTCCTCTCTCACTGTGATTATCAAGCTATGCAGGCTTGCGAGAGGTGGGTACAAGAAACTATCGGATTCGCCAAACGATCGGGTCAGTAATCGCCTACTGAACGAGCCCCAAAGAGGATTTCTAAGGAGCTTTTTTAAAGAATGTGAAAAGTAGAATGTGAAATAATCGTAACAATTTTTCAACTTAAGAAAATCAAAAGATTGCAAAGAAAATTGTTGATAGAAAATTTTATTAATTTTGTTTTTAAGGCAAAAATTTTCTATATTTCAAGTTAGCCGATAAAAATTAAATTAACTAAAAATAAAAAAAATAGAAACTATATTTTTCCGCGTCTGTTGATTTATTACGATTTATGAGTAGCGAGATATTAGACGAAGAAGAAATCGTGGCAACATTTTTAATAAATTTATACTTTACGAAACCGTTTTATATAAAATTATCGACTAAAAATATTTAGACATGGTATAGCATGTTTAATACTGCTTTAAAATTAAGGGCACACTGATATTTTAGATGATTTTAAAATTATTCATGCTTTTATAGTTTTATAGGTCTTATCTTTTACCGCGCTTTACAAGAATTTTACTAGCAAGTAATTGCTTGACGTAAGTAATTTTGCGAAAATTATTCAAGAATTATCAATCTCTCGAGTGATTAAATAACCGACATATTGATATATGATAAACGCATAATTGGGGACTTATGGAAAATATGTTAATATAATGAAAAAAAAAATAATAAAAAGTTTGAAAGTTAAGTAAGAAGAATCCGAAGGAAAGCTGCATCAGCAAGAAACTCATCGTATGCATGTAGGCGCGAGCGTGCGACTTTTGCGAAGCGGTGGCCATAAAAAGGCACACAAAACGCACGCGTGCGTGCGCGACGTCGCATTGAAAGGCAACAGACGGACGAGCGATTGAAATAACTGCGAGTAGTCCCAGCAATATGCGACCACGACAGCCTTTAACGCGAATGTATGCACGTTGAACACGCGTTTCTAGCAGGAACTAGATTGCAATAATAATGTGCGGATACGATGGTTACGTAAGGCGATATGGGCAGCGCGCTTCTTGCAATATCGCGATATTTACTTAATCGAATCTCGCGATCATGATTTCTTAATATAAAGCTGACACACTGAGATCAGATTCATTTTTCTGATAGCGCAAATGTAATCAGTTGAAAATCATTCTCGTCAGAGAACATGGATTTCTTTCTTTCGTATTTAGAAAACATTTCCCTTATTACAAGTACGTAAAGGATTTCTTGATCCTATATTGACATACTAGCTTCATATTAACTCTACTGGCTTTGTAAACATGTAGAACTTAGTCCTTCGAGAGAATTTCTCGTAGTAACAAGATACTAAATTAAATACTTCAGTTTCATGTCACGTTTATGAAAATTATTAATTTCCCTCTTTTCATCTAGATTCTGATTTTTTTCTGCTGATTTCGTTAGAGGGAATGTCCTTAAAAGTGTAGTTTTGTAGAATCTATAACTAAAACTTCTAGTCAACTTCTCTCATACGATCGCTTAAAACGGTCTCTGTAGAAAGGAGCTCAAAGCTTAAAACTCGCTTATCAGCATTCAAGTTAAAGACCAAGTAGCATTTGTACACAAAACTGTCGACTATTCGAACTTCATTCCAGACTTCGTCGGATTAAGGCCAAAGTAGTCTTATTGCATAACGGTGGAGTGAGGTATCTTATACAGAACAGAAGACCGTCAGATGACATAGAATTAAAGAATGTATTTATATACGTACGACTGACAATTTTCGCGAAATTGTGCGTCAAGCAATTATATCTTTCTCGCTGGCAAAATTCGCGTGAATGTGAAGCGTGGCAAAAGATAAGACCTCTTCAAAACCGTAAATGCATGAATAATATTAAAATCATCTGTAACATCAAATTTGCCACTAATTTCAAAGGAACATTTTAACATGCCATACCAATGTCTAAATATTTTCTGTTAATAATTTCATATAAGATGATTTCGTAAAGTATAATTTTCCATTAATTGAATTGTAGATTTAAAATAAAGAATTACCAAGGCCGTGAATAAACGAAGCGTGATAGTTATACATGTACGTATTTTCCGCGAAACTCGATTTCGAGACGTCGAGCTATTATTTCCAGCAGCGTTCGATCTCGATTGGCAGCAAAGGGAAAGTGGAGAAATTAGACATAAATTCTACGAAGCGTGCCCTCGGCGTGTCCCTAGCGTCAAAGTGCTATTAAAATTGTGTTTTGGATCGTTTACGTTTGTGTTTTTTTGCGCAAAGGAAAGCTTAGCGAGAAAAGATACAAGAACTGTGAAACATAAAACTGAGAGCCGGTGGCCGACACTTCCTCGCGAGATTACCTTTGCTAATCGACGAAATTAGAATACACAGTGACGGCGCGCAAGAAGCGATGGCACGTGTTACAAAGTATCGCATTGTTCTTTAATATAGGAAATTGAGGTGAAGAGCCTAGCTTCGCGCCTATTTACGATTCAAATGAGCTCGGCTGAGAGCGTTACGTATTTAAATCTATGCAGCGTTCTACAAACTTGAATGACTCGCGAGAGTATTATTTGCCGAAAGAAAACAGATATGTTCACAAAGGGGCATTTAAAGAGTCATTATCCTACGATTTGTTATCATAGGATAGCGCCAAAATTACTTCTGATATTCTCCGAAGAGAATATAGCTCTTGTATATACTGTTATTACATTTCAGACGATAACTGTACTGAAGAAAAACATGCATGGCCTTTGTTTCGAGCTTATTAAAAAATTTAATTTCGTTAATGCAAGTTGAATATTCTAAGCGTCTCTTCCGCCGTTTATTTATTGACTTTTTTTCGTGGGTTGAATCATGTATAAAAAGAGAGATACTATATTTCATAGTTATAATTTAACGTAACATGTAAAACCTAAGATAAGATAGACGATATATAAATGCAAATGCATTAAATTTCTGTATTACGATAAATTCGTAATTATTCGAGGTTAGATTGGAGAAAAACGGGCTTGAGATAACGCCTTACACGCAATGTTATGCGTGCGACAGAAATTGAAGAGATCGCGATATAATATTACATGAATTTCATAAATATCATTTTTAATATTTGATATACTATGTGTATAATGGTGCGTGTGGGATTTACGTTAAAGACAGATTACCATAGATCCCGTGCATGATACAAATTGAAAATACGGATTGTTAAAAATTAGTAATAGAAAACGAAGTTATTAATTAATAGAAAAAGAAGTACAGTCACTCACCAAGGTGGATAGACGCCGCGCGGCGACGCGCCTCCTGCCCTGATCTGCTCGTTGACATAGCCGCTTCTAGGTACATTAAGGGCGCTCCTGATGCCCACGCTAGATCCATCTAGAGTCCCGGGTCCGGGTTTGGGCACGTGACTGCTGCAGTACACCTCTTTGTCATTGATCGTGTGCTGATTGTTATAGTAGGTCTTCAGGGTGAGCTTGGTACCGCAAATTGCGCATTTGAAGCAGCCAGCGTGAAAAAACGTGAAGTCCTTCAAGGGACCCACCCTGTCGACCTGGTAAACGGTCTGGGCGCATCTCAGACACGTGCTCTCGTAGAAGTTCGGTCGATACATGATATTCGCCTCGAAGGACCGCCTTGGCGAACCCGGTATCCTTTTCCCTCACCGGAATCCTCCGGCTCCTCGTCCTGATCACCGCTCGCTGCAGTCTTGTACGATGCAGTGTTTCGCTCTCGATCCGTGCGACCTTGGAAATTAAAGGCCTCGATCAGGAAATAGAGAAATTACCTCTCACTGCCAGGATAAATACAAGGCGACGCCGACGAGACGAATAACTGGGCATTACTAGCTGTTTAGAGATCGGCACATGACTCACGTAGCATAACCGTACATTTCTAATTTCTCTTTGATTTTTCTTTAAAAAAAAAATGTCGCAATCGATCTAGTCTCGATTTCTAATCACGGAATTTATTGTGCGAATGAAATTGAATTATTAATCGCGCGTTAAGTGAACCTGTTACATTAATGCATGTTTCTACTAATTTAGTTTAATTTTAATCTTATTTCAATTCTTTATCCTTTTCTAATTCTAAAAATTAGAAAAAGATGAAAAATAAGTCGAACTGAGATTAAAATTAATATATATTAATAGAAATTGCTGTAAGAATTCTGATATGTTTAAAGAAGAAAATGTATACGGATTATTTTTGTTTAATTATACCGAACAAGTATAACTGTATTGAAATAGATAGTATCAAAACGAGAGAATTTTTATTTAATTAATCTGGATGGAAATAACGAATGAACATCAGATTTATGAAAATGCATTTAATTTCTATGTTTCTTACATATGATTTCTACTATGTTATTTGATACTTTTGTACTTTTAATTTAGAAATGTTTAACTAAAATCGCTGCGTTTAATAATCTCTTTTCGTACACCGGATATGAATGCGCGAGATGCCGAAGGTGGGAATCAAACGCACGTAAAGGAATTATACGCAATAATTAGTTTGCAACTGTTAATTACGCCGACAGATTTCTCAGCGTTCACGCGAATGTAGCTTGCTTTACGCTCCAATTCGACAATAGCGAGTTTTCTTCCTGGCGAGTCCGAATTGTAAACCGTTATCGCGTGTGGCTGCTTTATCGTGGAATTTCTAATTCTATCGATGCTCCTTCGCATCGGATGCGTTGCCAAGCACATCCGAGGGTTTTGAAAGATAACATCTGTAATAAAATCTGAGAATGAAGGTATACGGGGCGAGCCTGAATCGCCGACACTTTCCTGTAAAATTTTGCAACGAATCATTGCCAATACTTCATGAAGTGGGCGACTAAAGAGACAATTGCAACATGTTTAATGACAGCGAATATGGCTACGGTAACGTCGATGAGATTTTTCCACGTATCGTTCAGCTGCGAGCATTTAATAGAATTTCTACACGTCTCAATATTAATACATATCTACGGATCTGTTAATCTTATCATCTCAGTTATTTCTTTCTCATATATTAGATTGATAATTATATGTTATTAAATGCTCTAACACAGTTGCACAAAAATAGAAATTCATAAATACTGTAAGTCTAAATACTGAGAGTTAAATATAAGAAGTAAATATTACAGTATCGTACTCCAGTCGACATTCTCCGCTTTATAGAAAAATAATTTATTATCGATACGTAAAATTGATTTCTTTTCAATTTATTTGCTTGTGAAACAAATTCTCAATTGACAATCTTCTGTGAAACCGAGTTATGGAAAAATACAGTGTAGCTACCTAAATTGACTGAACGCACTACTTCTTACATCTATCTAACCGCAATGCTTTCTAAATTCTTATAATACCTCCATCATAGCGACCAGCAATCAAATAACTATCATTTAGGATTGAGATTTTACAGACGCTAAATTATTTCTTAACTTTCCCTCGCTGCTTAATAACATTATGAATAAACATTTAGATAACTAACGATGAGGCAAAGTTACTTAATTCATGTAAACATTCTTCTTTTTTATAGACTAGAAAATGGATAAATCTACGTATCATAAGATAAAATTCAGGTAAGTAAATATATCGTGCACTCTATAAAAGAAATATTACAACAGTGTGAAAAAATCAAATCTCTACCTTAAGTATTAAAAATAACAATTTAATCGGCTATTAGAAATTGCAATCGACTTCGCAGAAACGCTCACAGGACGCTCATAGCAAGTTCTTCGTATAGACGGTAGGGACAATAGCGCTTGCGACATGTTATTAGCAACACATTCATGAAACGCGACACGTGCCTAATCTTTGATTTTCCTTCTCTTTCACGAAATAAGGTTTTCCACAACCAATTGGCGAGGTCATCGCCCCCGTTTTTTACTTTCACGGCTGTAACTTCTAACGAAGTCTTTGCCACGATTAAATCAAATGCGTGCAATAAAGGCAATCGCGATCCCAGTGATGACGTACCAATGGAACATATTGGAAGGTTCCTCTTTCCGAAGAGTGAATACGAGGTGCACGCCGCCATATCGGGAGAAAGCATTTTGTACATCGCCATGCGTATCACGGCCCTCGCATCGCGAGAGTATGAGCTAATTCTTTGTAAATGAGGCCACGGTGTGTATGACCTGTTCTCGGATAGTTCGTTGACTCTCAGCAAAATCCTGTGCACCGAGGAACCGTCGTAAAAAATTTGTTCATAATCACGCTGGACTTATTTTTATATTTAACTCATATTGTACAGATCGTTCCAGCAATATTGTAGCAACATTGCAACGTTCCAACAATATTGTAATAATATTGAAAATATGACAGCAATGTTGTTGCAAGTTTCTGTGCAGTATGGGTGAATGTTCGGAGGAGAATGTTCAAGGAAATTATTATTATTGATATTAATTAGCAATGATTCATTTAGACTCTAAATGAAAATTTTTGGACGATTGTATGTGTACAATTTTTTGTACTATAAGGATTTATATTACGAAGTTCTAAATCGTAGATAAAAAACTGTAGAGATAAAAACTTTTTCTATTAAACACCTTAAGGCGGAGACTTACTTGCATTCTGTACTTCAACAGGACTACAAATAGGAACTTTAGAACTTGGATGTAGTTTTCACAGTTGTAGTTAAGGACTAAGATATGTACATGTGTATATAAAATGTACTACACGCACATACCAATTTACTAAAATTTGTAATCATTACACAAAGAAATGTCTAGTTGAAAATGATTGAACCAGAACATTCTGATTAAGTATATTAATCAGAATTCCGGTTATCACGATTAGAATTTAGTAGATTTAATCAAAAAATTCTGATTCATCTATTTTCAATCAGAATTCCAATCGAACATTTTTTTTATTGTACAATTTCGTACACTTGGAAATCGACTTTGGATTCGTACTTCGCAATTTCCTTTCGCATCTTACTGTTTTCGAATATTGGATTCTCATTTTGTCAGATACTCGATGCGGTCATTATCGTATGCACAGCTCGAACTAAGTCGCTCGAACTTTGTCGACGAGCTAATGTTTATGCTTGCTACCATCTCGTTGTATATAATCCAGCTAGTCGGTAACTGGCCTCGGCGATGGAACTAATAATGCGTAATATTGATTATGACGCAACTGTGCCCGATAGTGTCTTGCATCGAGTTACCCGCGATGTCTACGGCCACCGCGCACAGGTGTAAGTCCTGTTACTCGCTAATAGAATATGATAAATCGACCCTGTCATAATCCCCCCGCCCGTCTAGTGCAATTTTTGACACGTCACCGCGCAAGAGCTACGTTTCAATCGGAACGATAATTTTTGTAATGGAATGCTGTCCGATTAATGCTCGTATCTTTGCCCGAGTGATCGTGCTCGCTTCTGTAACGGAAATCCTTAACGCGTCTCATTAAGTCGCACATTTTACTTCGTATTCGGCGAAGTGCGGAAATCGTAAAATTCCCATATTTCGCCGTCGCGAACGATTTTTGTGCAAGCGATCGCAGGTATGGAGGGTGACTCTTTGAAGTCTCGAGACGTTAGACGACATATGGGAGCTCCGAACTAGCATTTAAGTGAACGGTATTAAAGAGAGCGTGTTTAATCTTGGAAGAATTGACAAATATTCCGGAACAAGGTCGTTCTTCGATTGTACTTTGAGAATTTGAAGCTTACGTTCCATTTACTTTCCGTTCGGCTCCTGCAACGATCAACGGCAGTCGGCGCTTTGCGTACACCGAGAACAGTGACTCTCCGAATGGAATGCGACCGAGGCGGTACGATTATGGCGAATTGCATAACTCCGAAGCGAGGAACGGGCCGCCGTCGATGGGATGGTCGCGTAATGGCGCGTTGCTCCTTTATAAATTATGCGATCTTCCGGCGATCCGAGAGAGCGATGCGTCATTTATCGCGGCGCTCGTTACAAAAAGCCCGATGGCGTAATCGCACCTACACGTACCCACGCAATCGTGATTCTCGAGGCTTCTTCGTTACCGATAAAAATCCGCTTCGGTACGACGAGCCGGGATCCAGGGTTCGGAGTCGACGACGAGACGGGATCGAAAGCAGCGATTTTAGAAAAGTATAAGGAAGAAAGCGAGACGCGTCGAAACTTTATATAGCGTAACGTAAAAATTATTTATGACATTCCTCGCGTCGTTTATTGTGCGATAATGCCCATTTTGAATGCTCGTGTCCCCATTTTGGAACACCTTCTTCTAGGCATTTATGCGCGCCGGGCTGCGAGCCGCACGCACGCGTCTCGCACTGCTGTGCCACGCACGCTGTGTGAGACACGAGAAACTTTATTATGAGGTAAATCGCGGGGAATGCGGCCGCGACTCTCGATTCGGATATACGCGCGGAACGTTGTTTGACGTGAAAATGACGCGATAATGGAACGCGTCGCGCAAGTAAGAAAAGAAATATCGCGGTACTTAATATTATAATAAATTGACAGATTCATATCAATTTTTTAAGCAACTCAAATTTTATAATATAAAACAGGTTGCCAGATATCGCTGTTAAATTCATAATGTCAAATTATACCCAATTTGAATCATTTTTAATGAGTCGCCACTGCTCCAGTATATCGTTATAATTTGACTAACAAAAACAATGGAGAGTTAAATAGTTTAACTTAAGAAAATGTATTAAATTTGAGACTTAAATTTAGTTTATTATTTACTAAATGCATGTGTTAATATGAACGATGTTTACTTTGGAACTAATCACAGAAATGGATTGATTTATATTTTAACATGAAAGTTAAAAATAACAAAATGTTATTTAATTTAAGGGATTGGGTTGCCATTGCTCCTTCGATATTTAACAGTGTATTATGCAAAATTCTTATCGTATCTGTAATGTGTAGTATGAAGAAATTTGCCGCAAAGAAACTCATGAAAACGATGTTGCCAGTTGTATAATTTTAATGTCCATTTCTACTAATGTAGGTTAACTTTAATCTCGGTTTAACTTACTTTTTATCTTCTTCTACTTCTAAGAATTAGAAAAAGCTAAAGAATGAATTAACCTGAGATTATAGTGTATTTACATTGGTAGAAAAAAGGCTTATATGGCGTAACTAATGTAAGATTATATAAAAGGAGTATTGATTATCATCTTGCATGGTTGGAATATTAAATATTGATTCCATTAATATTTATTAACTTAATTGAACTATAATACGTGGAATCAATTAAATTGTGTAAAACGGTCGACCGTTGTTTTGAGAAGTCTTTCTTTTTCAATTAATTTTCAATGTAAGAAATGTATCCAATTCTACGAATTTTAATGTTTCGATTTCTCGTTCGGAAAATTATTATTATTATTATAGTTATTCGGAAAACATTCGCGAAATTTGATATGACAGCGATACTTTGATTTGGAGTATTTTGAACTCGCAGTGCGAATAAATATCAATACATTCATTCGTGCATGACGTATTCATGCACGTGTCCTAATTTTGGTCCCACGATACTCTCGCGACAGCTTTCATACCAGCCATCGACGCTGAATATTAAATAATTACTAAAATTTAGTGAGTAATGTCTAGAGAAATTTCTCCATTATTCACGAAGATCTGCAAGTAGGCTCAACTTTCCTAATTTATGAAATCGTTTAAATATCGATACATTAACTAAATGACCGTGCCATCATGAGAAGTTCCAGAATTGATACACCATCATCAGAAGACAGATAACCATTAATCACACAGATCATTTAGCCAATCACGAATACTGATGATACTGCTCACTCATACACGGTAAATTTCTACATGGTCATTTGTCGAAAATTACAGAACCGTGGAGCGGTAATTCCGCTCCAGTAAAAGTGGAGCGACTTTTGCTTCTCAAAAACGCGAATACATTGACTTATCCTTATCCTCGTGCGGCGATACGTACGTCCTCATAATCCTCGCTTCAGCGTCATTCACGAGCAGTCTCGATGACTTCCGTGACTGCCAGGCATGTCTCCTTCTCTCGAGTCGTCTGGTCCTTGGGTATCGCCTTGGGCACGACTACTCTGCAGCCAGGTGGAAGATCGCAGGTAATGACGAGCCTCGAGCACTACGTAACGATCACGCGCGCGATATCACTCACGGTCCCCTTCGGTTTACCGATTATTTCCGTACCGTGCATCGAAATCACCAAGCGAGCGCCTCGCTCCGTTTCGCGAGCTCCGCGCGCGCGCGCCCGACGCGGATGAGGAGGAACACGAGAAGGGAACAGTGGAGAGGAGCGGAGGAGTCGAGCGGACCACCGATCGAGTCCACCTGTTCACCAGCGATCGCTGCGATATCGATCGCTACTTGTCAACGAAACGCCTCGCGATCAGAATCCCGGGATTCCGTCGAACTCGCCTCGTGGATACACCGTGTACTCTCAGGTACTCCTCCACGAGTACTACTCTCGCGCGATTCGTACTACACGCACGACAGCCACTTTCGACCTTCCAGCGCGGCGCGTACGGACGTCTTGGGTGACACGGTTTCGGCTGTCCGCCACCTGGAATGAGGTCTCGGCACTAAGCGAGGCAGCTTCGCGAGTCAGATTGGACCTGAATATCGCCACCTGCCTCCGTCGGCGTTCCAGGAAGGTCTGAGGTGAGAGGAACGGCCATTTTGAGGCATCAGCGATGGATCGGCTCAGGTGGCGCTACAGTTGGAGAACCAACCTGCGTCCTACCTGCGTCTCGCCTGCCTAACGGTCACTCTCCCGTGTGCACTCACCTGGCGAGGACCTGGGACCATCGTTTGCGATGATATACTATGACCAGATGTGCTCAGGATAGATTCTTTCCCTTTTTTTTCTCTTTAAAAAATAGAAATAAAAATTTTTATGCGTTAAGATCGTGCTATAGAGAAGACCATTACCTGCTCGAAGAATTTTATTTAATTAATTGCATCGCTTCTCTGGAGGAATTCCGGAAGAATTAGTAGTCCATAAAGTTTATTACGATTTCTGATCATATCAGCACTGAAAGCGGCCGCGACGATAAAAGATCTTCTAATTATAGATAAGAATATGTTAAAACGTATAAGAAGTATATCGTTCATAGTTTCATGCAAATGATATTATAATATACTAAGAATAACTGTATAATTTATTTGCTGTACGTTATCTCATAATTATGCCACAATTGCACGTGTAATGACTTAATGTAATGACTTAGCACAACGATCCGACAGATGTTGCAATAAATATATAGGACCGGCTACGTATATAGATAATGAAGCTGTTAATAGAATGGTGGATAGAGCGAGTTTATTGACGCAACTAAACTTATGGATCGTGAATTTTTGTAAAGATCGCTGTTTTGCATCGAATGTCGTATATTAAAAATGTTTCTTGTATCACTCGCTTTCTCGGAGTCACCATTTCTAGGCAGAAAGTACAAGATTGGCGCGGATAAAAGTGCGTGTGCGCGCCCACATGGGCGCGTGAATGTCGCTTACGTGGGAAGCGATTTGCTGAAAGAGAAGAGAGAGAGAAAGAGAGAGAGAAGCAATGATGCAATAAAGGCAACAACAGATTATATATTACTCGACCGTTACCAGAAGTTTATGCACTCACCATCAGTTATACTCTATTTAATTCTAACGTTTCAGTGCATTGAGCTCATTTCCGTGCACATGCCTCGTAAGGATAAAGGATAATAAGCAGTAGCAATACAAAGTAGAGTGTCAATTAAGAATCATGTAGCTTAGTAGAGTCCGTGGAATTGTATCTTATCGTCTTATTGGAATGTAATATGCAAATAATAGGTACCTACTTTTGCGTCATGACTATCTCACGTCAAATGTAAATGCTCATGGTGATAGCAGGGTGTGCCAACAAATTTACCATGTAAATTTACGGATTGAACATTAGTCAACTGCGACCGGTCAACTTCGACTAATGTCACGTTGGCATTCCGTTAATATATTCCGCGCGATTAACATAATTGCAGATTTCTTCATGTTATACATCAGCAAGTTTCTTCCTTTTTTCTTCTTTAATTTTTAAAATAACTTTAGTCTCATTCTTAAAGAAGTTTATTTTTAATGTGAATAATTCTGTCTGAAATATGTAGGATTAGAAATCAAAAAAAGAGCTGAGCAAACTTTATTGCTTGTTTAAAGAAGTAAAGAAAGAGCGACCATTATTTTTGCTCGAAGCGAGACAGACTTAGCTATAAATTCCTTTTCCTGCAAAGCTTTTTTAAATAATTTTTCGAAAATATAGAGATATAAACGGACTTATACTATATATTAAGAATTAAGAGAAACTGCTCTCTATATTTTTTGGAGTGTATTTTGGAGTGGATCTCATTTTAAAGAACGAAAATTGAACCAGTCTTGAAAAAGAGCAGTTCAATTTTCAATCTTTAAAAGTGAGATTTCACTCTTCAGAGTTCAGACAGTTTACTCTAAAAATTCTAGATAGTACACAAATATTTCATATCGAACGTCTGCTTATTCAGAAAGAGAATAGCTATTGTCTGGAGCGAAATATTGTAGATATAGCTATATAAGTTTTTCTTTCTTCTCCTGATAAAATTTTTAAAATTTTTGAGATAATAATTTTATTTAAAAAATTAATTCTTAAATTTCCTTAAAATTTTAATTTGAATTTTAATACTTGAAATATTAGAAACCAAGAAGTGCTGTAAATACTTCATCCAAATATTCGTTCGTCTGAAGAACTGAAGAAAAGAATAGCTATTGTTTTCGCTCGGAACAAAACGGACGTAGTTGTAGTTCCTAAAACAATACCAGTTCTAACATCTAAGCTGCACGCACATAGCGAGCATCGCGATATATTTACGCAAACGGGGAGACCAAGGAGGAACGGTGGCAACGGTCCAGCAGACACGACGTTACAGAAATAGATTTCGGCGGCGATGCAACGGCCGCCCGCGGACGAGCAGCGCCGTTCAAACCGACACCAGAGACAAGGCCCAGTATCGTGTGGACTAGTTCCCGAGAAAAACCGGAAAAGTCAACCCCGGCGAGGTGTCCCACATGAACGTGAGTGTCGATATACGTTCCATCGAGTGCAACCCTCGGTGCATCTTCCGCCTCTTGGACTTCCGTAACGATATTCCGTACTGCGCTGACGCCATTTGTCTTTCTCTTAATGAAAAAAAAAAAGGAAAAATGACACACCGTTTGCGAGAATAATAAACTAAGAAGCATAATTTCATATTTTGGATGATTAAGAAATATAAAATCGCATCGCGAAGAACGATTTTTCAATAATGAATGTTCTGAACAAAACACCGTTAATAGAATAGCATTGTTGGCCCATTGTTGGCCCAAGATCTCAGTGCTTTTTTTTTTCGACATGGTCCACAAAACGGTCTTTAATGTTACGATAGGTCGGCTGCTGTGGATACGAATTGTCTAAATCGGAGCTCGCATGGTGCATCGACTTGGAGTGCGCACGGCGCGTGCATTTAACTTCGTTCGTAGAACACAATGTGGATAGCAGTATCAACTCAATAGTGCTCATTTTCTAATTTAAGAGATGAGATCAGTCAAATTACTTTGTATCTCTTGAGAATTGAACAGAAAACACCTTTGACGCAATCGCGTCGTATACTAATATTATTCTTATTTGTTTTTAAAAAGCACAAATAATTTTATTCCTAAAGACACGTAAACAAAAATATAATTAGAAATTCTATTGTTAAGCGCGATTTTCAATTATGATATTATGTAATAAATATTCAACAGATTTACGCAAATGTTTTTATGGAAACAAAGAAGAGATTCTTAAATTTGAGATTTTCCAATTTTCAATTGCTAAATGTTCCGATTTAATTAGAGAAAACGAAAATTCGCGTTTCGAGAATAATTATTTATTGCACGGCGTCTAAAATCCACGTTGATGCCTCGCAATTTGCTAGTCTCGTAGTATCGTATTCACGTAGGCACCTACCCTATGCGGGTACCAGCGACTATCGGAATAACGTAACGAAAGATAAAGCAGGACCCATTTCTCGCACTACTGCTACGCAGAAAGTTAAACTTGCGAATTAGTGCATACGTGTTATCTGTAACTTGTAACTCCATACTCCCACTGTGACAGTTACTTCCGGTTCGAGATCCCTTACCGGATTGCGTTTCTCGCTAACCATTGTCTAATTATTCTGTAATTATACAATATCATGTTGTTGGAAATGTGACGAAAGCATAAACGGAACTTAAGATTGCATCTGGTGGATTGCAGCAACTAAGCCATCTAATCTAAACTCCAAACGCGAATAAAATGCGAGACGTGTCTACGCGTGAAAGAAGTTCGCGAACAGAAATTCTTCGGGATAAACTAGAAGTTGGACGATTTCCAGCTTGCACAGTCGTATGCAATCTCAACGAGAAATAGTTTTGCGCTCGATTTGCATTTCTTTTATCCTGTCACGTTTTGAGATGAAATACCTAAATAAAAGAGATGTAAAAAAAGATTTAACAATAAATAAATTGAATAAATGGTACATGCTGCATATAATTTAATTTCATTAAATAAATTAAATTGTTACTCTCTTTCGACATTATGATGTTGCTATAAAGTCTTAATGAGAGAATTATAAATTATAATTTCCGTATATATTGTTATGATTTTGTTGCGGATTTCCTTGTCATATAAAATAGAAACAAAAATAGAAAAAAGTCCTTGCTACAAGAAGAACAGAAGAGTAAACGTTCTAAAGATACGATCGAATCTAATTCAAGAAACTAATTCTCGTCTCGGCTCTCGAGCGAAAGCTTTTCACTGCGCAGCTACGTTTATTTCCGCTGTCTCGTTAACGCGTCATACGGATATCTTCAATTAATCAATTAAACAAGCTACTGCGATCCAATAAAAAGATAATAAGACGAATGGATAGAGAACTAATTATCTGTAATAATAGTTAAACAAGATACGTCAGATATTTCTGAAACCGATTTATTTAGGTCATCCGCCCTTTCATCAATTACATTCTCCGTCTAAAGCTGTGATCTAAAATATCTCGAAATCAAATACAATTATGTTCGATATTTCGCATAGGAAGAGAAATATTATCGTCTGTGTCACCCACGCCATGAAAAAATGTCGCGCGCCACGCGGCTCGGTTTTATTTCTGGACGCGGAACACGCTTTTTCTCAACCGCAAAAATAGATCCGGACGGTCCAGCTTCCGGCGGTGGAGCATCGTTCTGACGTCACGCTTTCCCGCGACGATGCCCACAGTCTCGATTATACGACGCTGAAATTATTTAGGCTTCGGACTCGCTAACCCAAGGTGCGATGACATCAATTCACACTTGGCACAAGTTATGGCAGTTGGAAACTGCCAACTCTTCGAAGTTGCTTAGACTTTTGATACTTCGGTTTAACGAAGCGTTGTCATTTCCGCGCTGAATGTGATTACCACTGCTAGATGTACCTTTATCTAACTTAACTGTAACTATAATAATTTTATGTATAATACATATATTTTATGAGTATATATAAAACAATTTTACAATTCTAAATAGAATTTCATGTCAGAGATCGTTATAAATGCAACATTTGAATAATAAGCATGACGGAGATGCACCAATGCCTCTTACGTGTTTCTGAAACAAATTATTATGATTCTTATAAAGGAAAATAATAACGCTCTATTGTTATTCCATAGAACCCGGGAGCTGAAAAATGGCGACCAATGGCCATATCGAATCCATCCACAAAGTTGAGAATGGCAAGATCCATGCCCCATTGGGTCCTGGTAGGTATCTTTTCTTTCAATTTTAATTCTTAATTTCATAACTTATAGAAAATAAAAAGGTGCTTATATATATTTTTGTCAAAATAATTAATTTTATAATATACTTTTATTTGATCCTACTCTCTAAAATCTTTGGAATGGTATCTTACTCTAAAAATTTTAAAGAGTACGATGAATACCATTAATCTGTTTATATATCGATATAATATTGATCTCAAAAGTAAATACATTTCTTCGATAAAAAAAAGACGCAGCAGCAAGCAGAGCAACAACATCGTCGGCCCCCGACGCCTCCGAAAATCCCGCCACCGTCGCTCTCCGGGGACTGTGGAGACCCCGACTACGAGATCATCGAGTTTCCGACCCGACCGCAAGCCCAGAAACCCTCGATGCCCCAATCGAATGTTGGTAAGTGCGCTCTGTGCGGCACCGAGAACGTGTTCGCGCGTTGCGACACGTGCAACGAGAACTTCTGCGAGGCCTGCGACGACATGAACCACAAGCATCCGAAGCGGAAGGGCCACGTCCGCAGAAGGATCCTGACCGCCAACGCAAGCAGAAGCAAACCGCCACTCCCACCGAAGGGGGAGAACCTGTTGAATCCTCCACCAGTGCCACCACCGCGGAGGAATCGCAAGACCTCTCAGGTAGGCTGCGTCCTGGCCTGAAACCCCCGACTGCTTGTGAATCTTCTTCCAGGCACTGACGCCAGTCGTCGATCGTCTTCGATGTTCCTCAACATCTATGCGTCCAAGGATCGCTTCGGGATCACTCGAGCTCGATGGAGATCAGGTTGCGACTGTAACGACCAATGAATTTTCACGACCAAGTGTCTATTTCTTGATGACGTTCGGGCAAGATTGGATCAGTGACTAACTCCGAAAGCTGTTTACCGCCAAATTAGACTTCGTCTCCATCGCGCCGAGTGTTCACGAAATCGAATCGCTGAATATTGACTCTCTTTCGATGTTGTTGATTAAGATGATGTAACTTTTACTTCAAACATCACACCGAGGCGTTCTTAAGTGTTACTACCCTTGCGAGTTTTAAATGATCGTTGTTATTGTTCTACATCCAGATTCTATTTAACGTTTAGATTTTATTGTACATATTGTCGTTGCTTTTTAATACACCATGTTACCGCAAGACACTGATGCCGTATTCACTGAACCCGTTCTCTCTTCCAGTTCTGTTGCTGACGTAATGACGCGGAAATGACGAACGTAGCGCGTCGGCGCCTTCGTAATGCTGGGCATTTGTCGTATCGTGTAATCGAATCGTTTTTACCGCGAACGATCTCTATGGAGTGGTGAATATGGCAGGCTACGGTGAACACGGTGAACACGATCATTCTCGCACGATTATAATTTTCTCTATCGGCATCCGTAGCGATTCGTATTTCCCGTACCGTTACGGGTACCACCATGACTTATTTTTACACTCGGTGTACTCCGCCTTCTTTTCAGCATAGAAAGACTATCCATCCAGCTGAATCTGCCACGCTCAGAATGACACAGATAATTTTTTTAATGTCATGTTATTACATTTTTAAGATTTTTATTTTTAATATTCTTGACGCACATTGATGTCCAGAAATAAGCCATTCTGCATATTTATTTATTTGTTATTTTTTTAGAATGTTTCTAAGGAGAGCTCTATAATATATTCGCCACAGTTATGATTATTTAAACTTGACTTTTTTTCAATTACAATATCAACAAAGTTTTAAAAACGAACATCTACAATTATCGATAATATATTCCGAGTGTTGTTCTCTCCTTACATCTACAATATGTAATTAAGTTAAAATTTCGCGCTTATAATTAGGCTAAATCAGCGTTAATCAAAGGATCTGCGCAACTTTCTTTGCTCGACAAGGTGGGGAGCTTGAAGCGCAATTTTTCCAATGCAAAACCATCGTTGGACTCGAGCGCGAGAGTGTCAAAATCTACGAATACTTTAAACACGTCTTCCAACGATGCTTCAGGATCAGGAACAGATAAAATGACTACTCTACAGGTAAGAAGAATTATAATATCATAAAAATTATTTATTAAAGATGGCTTTATTTTAACATTTAAAATTGACTCTGAGACATATCTAAGATTATGAAATATATTAAAGTAAATAAAGAACCTCTCAAAAACTAATTTTTTATTGCATTTTATTAAATGGACAAGATAAAATAATAAGTATTTATAAATTTAATTATTTATTAAATCTTGAAGTTAACTTACTTTTGTTCATTAAAATAAATTATGTATTCGTGAAATCATTTTTATTTCAATTTTGACATATTTTTTTGCTACTATTTAATCATTGTGAGGCCATTTGTTGAATTTTTGAGAACTTTATTCTTTATTTGGAAACTGAAATAAAAAGCTGGAATAATTACGAATTTTTAGGAGAGATATAGAAAATACCAGGAAGTGATGAGGGCTCAAGATGCGAATAGGCGACGACACCCATCCGCTGACACGAAGGACACTTTGAGCGGAAAACCATTCAGCGTAGGCAGTCCAAAACCGGCACCGCCACTTCCGCCTCCGCCGCCACCTAGAACTATGATACAATCAGCCAGCGTTTGCGACTTAACCGCTGCTCATATGTGGAATACAGGAATGCATCAGGTATTTTGAATATTCTTAAATAAATGTCAAATCTATTTCATTAATTATTAATCTGTTATTAGTTCTTTATTCTTCATTTATCTTCCAAACGTTCCAAAAGAAGATGAAATATTAAATTAAAAACCTGATGCCGCAGAAAGATTCGTGATAGATAAAATTATTTCAGGCCCAATCAATAGCACATCTCGGACCCGGCGGCATGCCGATGATGTGGTATCCACCGGTTAACTCCTGGGATGTATCGATGGGAGGTTCCAATCTGAGCCTGCATCATCCAAGCATGTGGGGATATCCCATGGGCTATCCGTCAGCACAAATGCTACCTTCGCATTATCCAGGATCTCTTTCTAGAGGGCACAGTCCAGCCAGAAGCGTTAAGTCTAGAAGATCGAGACCGGCGTCTCCATCTCCTAGTTTGAAATCCAGGAAGTCTTATGTTTCAAGATCGCGATCGAGAAGGTCGCCCGGGTCACCATCAGATGCGAGTTCTGAGAACTCCGACGAGTCCGATATAGACGACAGACTTTCCCGTGGATCCAGAAGTAGACGCGGCAGTGTTCCCAAAAGCATACGACAACGAAGCTATCACGATGAAGATACTAGAAGTCTCGTCTCCAGAGGTCGACGAGAGTAAGTGGGAAAATTCTATAATAGATGAAAATAATTTTTCTCAATAATTTAAAATTTTTGATGTTTAAATCGATATTATAAAAATTAGCATTGTGAATATAATCGAGATTAAGAAAAAGAGAGGGGGGTTTTCACAAAATTTTTTGAATAAAATATATATATATATATAAACATATTAACTTCTAATTAACTATATTCGATCATTGTAGCGGTTTTGATAATATTTTATCTCATTTTTTATTTCAAAATTTAACATTTATATATATTAATACTTATATTTATATAATCTGTTTTTATTACAAGACCGTCTTAATTAATACGATTATAAGACTCTTAAGACTAATAAACGATTCTGTAATTAATGTATGACATTTTAAAACTATATTTCTGACGGTTAAATATAAGAATTTATGAGTATTAGTCTATCTTTTTGGGGAACAATGAATTTCTTCATAATTTTATAGAATTTTAATCTTTGCGAGATAAATTTAATTTGTCAATATTTAAATACATATATTTCATTCGCGATCATATTTACATGCCAATGATTGGTTTTTTAGAAGATTAATGACCGAGGAGAAAATGATGAGTGCCGAAGACCAATGGTCCGAAAGTCCGTCCAGTAAACGATACTCGACATCTTCGAGAAGTTATGATGAATTTCAAAAGAGCAACACTATCTCTTCTGGACGACGTTACGATCACGATGATCGTTCGGTTTCCAAGATGGATCCTCGACTGGATCGCATTCAGAATGGAAATTATCGCGATCGCCGAAGGCGAAGTACCGACGACGAGTACTCTGATAGAAAAGTTAATACGCCGAACCGAGCACGAGTTACGAGCTCATCTGAAGATCATTTCGAGAGGGTGGAGAACGCTTTGAAAAGGGCGTCATCCCTTCGAAGGGACATAATGTTGGATGATCTGGAACGATCCTCTCATCGCGATTCTCGTAGATCGTCCTTTGACAGCGACGGTCAGATTAAGAAGACGCCTTCTCGAGAAATAACTTCCCCGAAAAGAACACCTAAAGAAAGAACGCGTCTTCTGGAAAGACAGTCTTCTCAAGGAGGACATTCGGATCGCGCGAATAAGGACGAAGTTGAATCACATTTAACAAAAAAAGAACAACAAAGGCGCGATATCTCACGAGAGCGCGAACTCCTCACGAAAAGAGAGTCGTTCCGGCAAAAGGATATTGATGATTTAGACCAAACCTCCAACAAACGAAGTTCCGGAAAATCTTCTTTCGAATCCGACAATCAAAGTGTCAGAAAAACGCCCTCTAAGGAAATACCGATAAGGAAAGAGAAGGACAAAGAAGACGCAGCATTACCTGAAACAATAGGTAATCTTCAAGTTACGGACCGTCAGCGATCGATTGATAAAGACCGTCAGTTGAAGGATCCGATACGAACTGCCGAAACTCAACAGAAGAGACAGGATAGTACTGAGACGAAACAGCAGAAAACGCGAACTCAATCTCAGAAGGAACCAAAGATAGAAAAGAGAGACACGGTTGAAAGTACAAGTGCATCATCCAAGAAAATCGCGTCCGGTGAGACAGTCGTGATGGAAATTCCGAAAGAGGAATGGGCTTGCGAGCATTGCACCTTTATCAACAAGATCAACGATCGCGTCTGCGTGGTTTGTTGCAAGACGAGGAGCAGCGCTTTGCCACCAAGCATCTTGAACAATGACCCCGTGGCCGAGCCGATTGAGCCGCGAGCACCGAAAAATGAGATATCGAATAACGTCGGCGATCCCAATCACGATCCTGAGAAGCGGACCAAGAAGATCTCCAACAGCGAAGAGAGCGGCGACAGCGGATCCGTTAAGAATAAAGGTAGACCGAAGCGTAAAATCAGCTTTTCCTTCGGTACCAAGTTGTCCAAGTGACGTCACGCGTGACGCTTCCATTCTATGTGATGCCCACCCGCGTATTCCTGTCCAGAAATGCGGATGACCCGGATTACATTTGTACACGTCTCTCTTTTTTCTCTTTCTCTCTCTCTTTCTCTATCTATCTCTTTTTTTATTTTTACGTAAAGCGGCAGTCACAAGCCGTACAACTGGTTGTCCCCTTCGATGTATTCCCTTGGATGAATAATAAAGAGACATGGAAACTGTTTTTCGTACAACGCTACCAACAGCACCAAATGCATAGTCGTATTTGAAATTCGGTCATCTTCTGTTCATGTCTAAGGCGTTATATTATTCATTCAAGCGATGCGACGGTTTCAAGCACGAGCGTGCATTTGGCATATGTTCCTTTATTCCGGGATAGACCATCGATGGAAATCACTGCCAAAGCATTTGGCTCGACGACGCTAAAAACGTCTCAGCGACAAAAGATTTATTCATTATAAACTGAAAGAAATTATACTGCAGTAAAATTTTGTTAAAATTTATTTCTTTTAAAGTCATCCGTCAAAATTTTGCATATCAGTTTATTGATATCAAATATCAATACATTATTATATTACTAGTATATTAATACTAATTAATTGGGATAATTACAAATAGCATGTCATACATTTGGTACATAATATATTTGTTTGTGGCGGTACAAGAACCTAATAGATTGACAAATTAGCAGATTTTTTAATTAAGTATATTAATTAATAAAAAAAGTCGCATATATATACGAGCAATGTAATACCAATATTTTTATCTTATACAGTTATACACCAAAATTTTCCAGCAGTATTTATTTATTTCTCGATTTTATTTCTTTTTTTTTTCGTTTGTAAAAATGATAAAAAAATGTCATGAATGTATATTTTTAAATGACCTTGAAAATGATATGATACACAAAAATATCTTATTGGAAACGCGATATTACAGTATCAGTCGATTTTATATCTCCAAACATATAATTTAACTATAGCGTAAAATAATTCACAATCACACTGAATCATGGGGCAAATTTATGATTTTCAGAAGCGATTGCTCCAGACAATGGTTCTCTTGTAGAGAACTCTGAAACTACGATGGCTGTAGCTTCGCAAGCAAAAGAAGCGTCGTTGAAATCGGTAAATGCGACATCGCCAGTCGATGAGAATTTGTCCTTAGAAGCATCATCGTCAGTGTTAACATCTTCTTCGGTTACAAATACTTCTAAGGCAGACAATACGAACACGATGTCAGACGAGGAAAAGATTCGAGGGAAACTTTTGAAGAGCCATTCGATATCTACGGGAACATCTCCTCCACCGCAGAGCATCTCGACCCAAGTAAGAATTGTTTGAGTGAGATATTATTTATGTTTGTGAAATATTTCACGAACAAATATGGACGAAAATATTATTTAACAGAAGATTAAATGGAAATAAATTTTGTATAAAAATATTTTAGACTTACGACTATCTCCCTGCAAAAGGAACTCTCAGAAGATCCGCGTCGACAGCAACGTCAAAGAGTTACTCTTATTACGATGATAGCGATGGTGAGGTGAGCGAAAATTTGCGAATAAATCAAAAACATAATTAAATATTAAATAAAAGCGATCGGAAATTCTACGACCAATCATTGATAAAATATTTTTTAGTAAGAAATAAGATGCTTTGCATCTTCTGCGTTGATACGTGATCGATCACGGTCTTTGTGCGTTCTAATAAAGGAACAAGACGAAGCATTTGTTTCAGGAACAAGCCGGATTCGTAAATAGTCCCGATTTGTATCCACGAACATTACAGGAACAGTATCTTCAGCAGTTGATAATCGATCACAGAAGCAGAGAGCGGATCAGAAGAAACTCCATCGACTCGTCTCACCTTTATTATCGTTCCAGGGTAAACTCGCTTACGAACTCAAGCCTGACGGATTTTTCGTTGTACACCTCATCATCCTCAATCCAACCATTGCAATAATTAGTCTCGGTGTGAGCGTAGGCAGGATGATATTTTAATTTTTTTAGCATCCTCCAACCGCTTAAATAGATCGCTTATGTATATTTATTATGCTTATTTGCGTAATACATTTACAGCTGCTGCTACTTCTGGTATATTAATTAAAAAGACACGCGCTTTAACAGCACATTAAAGATAATCTATGACGGTGGAACCCATGCAATTGTGACTAGTCCCATATCAAGTAACATCGTCCATTGACTCTGCAAACCTCATGCTTTTGTCAATTTTTGATGAGACGATCATTGATGGCAATGTGCTTTTACTGGTTTCAGGAACCCAGCCAATCAAGATACACGGAGGCAGGTTCCAGTACCAGTCAAGCAGTCTCCACGTTGACCCGCCAAGGATTGGAGATAGTGGAGCTCTTGCGGGAAGCCGAGAAGCAGGGATTCACGACTGATGACGTTCAAGTCGCTTTGGCGCAAGGCGCACCGAATCCTATCGAGTGGCTTCAGACGCAGTGGCCGCATCTGGTGGAGACTGTGCAGATTTTGGTGATCGCGCAGGGCAAAGAATTGAAGGAGAATAGCATCGGTGTGCTCTCACCAGCCGAAGCGAAAGAAGCCCTACGATCAGTCAAGGGCGACATGTGGAATGCAGTTGCGATAGCTATTCAACGCAGGCAGCAGAAAGTGTGTGCTAGGAAAAATTTAAATATTTAAATCTTTGATGAGATTACTTTGATCATCATTGATTTGTCGTTCTTTTGATTGGCAGTGCGAACAGATCATGGCAAAGGGAAACTTTGCGCTCACAGACGTTATCAGGGCTCTTGATAATAACGCTGGTATCGAAGATGCTACTCTGCTTGAGCTGCAGAAAAATCAGCTCAAGCCTTTTTTAATGAGGATCTGGGGTCCTCCGGTCGGGGTGGAAAACGAGGAGGCTGCACCGCACGAAGGTCAGTGAATGTTTGTTATATGCCAATTATGATAATTTCATAGTATTTTTCTCAATGTTTCAATATTTAAATATTTAATATTTAAAATTATATTAATATTATTTTATAGTAAGCATCATTTTTATATATTCTTTTATTATTGAATATTTTGTAGATTTTAAAAATATATAGATATTCTTTTCATTTTGCTTTATATACAATCTGAAATATGAAATTTTATTAATCAATATTGCTTATGATGTACTACAGTTTACTATTAGAACGACTTATATTTCCTTATATGCAATAGAAAAATATATAAACTTAGACCCGGTTGCACCAACGTTACTTTAATTTTAAGCGAGGCTTAAAATTCTCTTTGTCCCTGTTTCTTTTCGGCTTTAAAACGAGACAGACAGAGTTTTTTAAATCTCGCTTAAAGTCAAAGTAACGTTGGTGCAATCGAGCCTAAGAAAATTATAAAAGTGAAAAAATAAATATTTTAAATCAACAAAAATAAAGACTCTTGAAATTGAAATAATAAAATTAAAATAGGATTAATAAGAGTTTAGCTTGACTCGTCGTAGTTCACATTTGAGGACTAATAAAATTAATCCTTAATATTATTTTATCAAATACAACTATCTAGCACATTATTGTCTGTGCTAGATTTATTAGCACTCTAGTCTAAACTTGTATTTATTTTAATTATTTTATTTGTACCATCACATTTATAAAAGAGTCACAAATTAATATTCGAAAGAAATAAAGATCATCGATATGTGCAGATTTTTCTTTTTGCCGCAGACGCAGCGGGTGCGGTCGGTGGTGGGACGGGGCTTGATTCCACGGAACAAGTTTCGAATGTGTTCGATACGGAGGCGCAGAAGCAGGTAATGTCACCAATTGTTGATCATTTCGTGGCGTTGCAGGCCGACTTTCAAAAGCAACTGGCAGCCCTCAGAGAACTGACCGATAACTGGCGACACGAGAAAGATCCCCCGAATCAATTGGGTAATAATAAGTCTGATAATCTGTACGACCACTCTGATGAGCCCACTGTTCTAATTGATGCAAATCTGGTCCCAAGGGCCGTACAACAAGCGCTCGACGTAGCGGAACCAAGCAATCTTACGATCACGCGGCAAGAACAGACGACCGTAGATTCACGGGATGACTCAAAGTACTCGTTGAACACTACGAAATCAACAGAAGGCTTGGACCAATTAGATGCCGCGTTGCCCACAGAAATTCCCGCATCCACAGTCGATGATCTCGCGAAGACAAATGCAATGGACTCCTCACATACGCTTGAATACTCCTCGAAAATTAACAACGCTGATGGTTCCGGAGAATCGACGATTGACCTCGACAAAAGTGTTGTGCGAATTACTGAATCCAATCTGCTAAAATTTGATGGTCAGAAGAACGACGAAGTGAAACAAACCGCGCGGTTGCACGAAGAGACGAGAGAAACGCGTGCTGACACCTCGACTACATCGATCGATGAAACTGCAGTGGCGACGGAAGTTATGAATTTACTGGAGGGACAGGAAAGATTATTACCAAATAACGCCGGAGTTGAAGTATCCTTATCACATAGAACTTCTGCGCTTGACACAACGAATAATACGGAACCGGGTCAGTCCTCTTCTACGCGCCAGGAAACTTTGAGTGGTCCTGAATTACTTTCTGATATAGCAAGACAGAGCACCGCGATGGGGAATAGCGAGTCACTCGTCGAAGTTGGGAAGTCTGTAGAATTGAGCGGAGCACTTCGTATCTCTTTCCCAAATTCGAGTGTTCCCCAACGAGCCGATATATTGCCGCAGCATACATCGCGGGACGAATCCTCAATCGCGGATACGGTGAACGTGACGGAGAAAGTACACACGGGCGCATCCGAAAGGGATCTTTCCGCACGGGAGCAATCTGATCAGCGTGTCATAAAGGAAATCCCCACGCAGAACGACGGGCCGCACGTCGTGGAAGTTCTACTGTCTGCCGTGAAATCACTGCCGGAACAGTTTTTAACGCCGTTCATAACAGCGATGCAAATGCTGTCGCCCGGAAAAGGTGATGTCAACGTAACTTCCGATGTGCAACTTATGAACCAATTAAATACTTTACACAGCCTGAAAATTGACGATCATAAAACTAGTCGACGACAACGGATATTCCACCAAGAATTGATGCTGAGGAGAAGCCCGTTTCTGCAGCCGTGCTTGAAAACAAAATTGGATCGCAGTCGCTTTCGGAAAAAAGTCAAGAAGGTAAACATTTGGAGAAAGGTCCTGAAAAACTGAAAACCAACAAGATTATTGATAAGGAGATCGCAAGATCTAAGGTTCCGGAATTTCGGATGGTGAAGTCTCGGTCGAGCGTTCCAGACATTAAGCAACAACATCAGGATGTCAGATCGGTAGGTACAGACACGAACGAGTCTAACATTTCGCGAACTAACATCGCAACGGATCTGACGTTTTCCGATTCGATGAATGTAATGGACAAAGACACTCCTGAAAAATCTCGGGTTATGAACGAGGCGGTAACATCAAATGTAGGAGTAGCTGAAGCGTCACAAACGGACGTCGCCGGGGAAATATATTCACGTAAGAATTCTTTAGAGATAGTCGACGTGTCTGCAAGAAGTAATAATCAAGGAGACTCTGTCGGAGACGAAATCGTATCGAAGGCAAAATCAGTTGAGGAAATGCATTCAGGTGAATTATCGAGTTCTCACGTACAACCGTTAACAATATCTTCAACGCATGATCAATGTGTCGTCCAAAAATCTCTCGAGCTTACATTCGATAATTGCTCGACTGATGCATCATCATCATCAAAGGAAGCAGAAAGCCCTTCCGAAAAAGCATCTCATGAAAAGCTTCTCGTTGATAATACAGACATTGATTCACTCCTAAAAAATAACTCGTCACGAGACAAAAGTTCATTAGCTTCTATAAATGATTTTAACGTGGAAAAATCTACTTCTCAATCAATAACGGAAATAAATGTTTCACAAGAAGACTCGATCGTTCATAATTCTAACGCTGATCATTCGACTGTTTCATATGAAGTAATAATGAACGCGACTAATATGGCAAATAAACAGGATATTAACAAACCGGACGAGCGACAATTAAACGATTCATCTCATGCGCATGTTTCAACGTCAGCTTCACCAATCTCGACAACTTTATCTCTCACAAAAGTAAATTCATCTTCTGATCATCCTCTCGACATTAAATCACCGCTCGTCGAAATATTCGATAATCAAGGAACGACATTGCGTCATGATAAAAATGATACAAAGCCGATCGTTTCGAAAAATGCGGTGCACGTTTCGGAAAAAGTAGAACAGACAATTTCGGTCACATATCACACTCCCGCGAGCGACGATAAAAATGAAACTACGTTGAAAGAAAACGTGCCTGTTGAGCAAAATACGGCCAATAATTTATCCATTACTCAATCGCGGACCATTGAAAGTATCGTACCACCATTAACACATTCGCACGCCGCTATGGAAATAAATTTAAATAATCTACGTAATGAAGAGAAGGAAATTATATTTGTCTCGGCAAAATCTGACAATTTAATGATTGAACAGACCTCAGATGTTCAATCTTTAACAGATTCACAGAATATTATAAATCAAGATCAATTATCCAATCCGACAAATAATCAAGAAATAATTACACTTCCACATAATCACATAACGCATACAAAAATAATATCACCCTCTTTATCAAAAAATAATCTTGATGTTAATACTTACCCTAAAAATATTTCGCATCTTGAAATATCAAACAGCTTTAGTGATCTCAAAATTTCAAAAGATATTAAAATTCCAGAGAATAGTGAAACAGTATCTATTCCTGAAATTTCAAAATCTATTGGTAACAATTCTGTTGCAAATATTAATAACTTTCCCGACGAAAATATACATAGTCAATTAAGTGAATTATCAAATAGTAATAATGATATACCAGATAACACATCTCCTCGATTATCTGTCGAACATGTTCTCTCTTTAGAATCGAAAAAAAGTATTTCGAATCTCATAAATCCTGACGAGGAACTTCATTTTAGAGACGAAGTTTCTCAATCTGACGATGACAAGAGACAAGACATAAAAATGTCAAATTCAACGACAAGAAATATCTTACATGCGCTTAAAAATTTCAATATATTCTTTACAACACCGACCGAGGAGAGAAATATCGCTTCAACAGTCAACGAAGACTCCTTCCCGGATTCTATTATAGCAAATGTCAACGACGCGACGCCCGGAATACCTGACACTTTTGAAATAAAGGTCTCAGAATCGCCAGTAACAACGGTAAATGATTGTGCGCCGATAAAAAATATCGCAAATATCGTTGAACGCGAAACGGGTCAGATTGAAGGTGTTGATACAATGAGGAATGCGAAAAATGTCGATTCGTCCGGAAATGAAATTTCAATCATAGCATCTAACGAACAGGTTGAGCCATCAAAATTATCGAATAATGAAAGTTTGATAGAAAAAAGTACAGAACAAGTAAATCAATTTCATAAAAGTGTGATCGCGAAACCCGTTGTGAATTGTAGATCGAGATCGCCTCTTAAAAAGATCGTTCGAAGAAAGTCGCCCGTTAAGATAGTAAAAAAATTAGCAAGCGTACCGAAAAAAAATTTAGCGTGGAAAAGCACAAATCCGTACAGTACGACCATCACAAAAGTGAAAGCAACGGTTAGCGAAGTTACTAAAAGGTCGAATCGAGCAATGCAGTCCAATGAATCGCGAATTAAAAAACTCTTAAAGCCCACCGCGAACGATAAGACAGACAATAAAAATAAATTAGTTACAAAAGAACCAGATAAAACTGTTAAACAATCACTGAATAATCCTAGCGTGCAAAAAACTGGCGATACTACGGGCGATATTAAAATAAATGATGATAAAAAGGTTTCTATGTCCAGTATAGAAAAAATATCGATAGTCAATAACGCGACCAATTTCGATCCCCAAACTAAAGTACCTATTGTTAAAAAATATAATGGAAATAAATTGGAAAATTTTAAAAAGAGAACGTCGAAATATCCTAAAAATATAATTATTGAAGATATTCGAAATAAAAATCCGGGAAGCTCAAAAAATGTAAAAGCGGAGACTTTTGAAAATCAAGCAATAAAGAAGATAAATCACAAAATTGAATTTTCGAACGACGATAAAGTTTTAATAAAAATGGAAAAATGTAATTTAAAATCTAAAACGTTTTTACCATCAAAAATACCCATTCTAATGCGACGAAAAATCACGCAATTAACAGATAGTGCCTCATCAAACTTTTCTAAAATAAATTTAAATGACACGTCTTTATTAAAGAACGCATCAACTAAATTGCCAGTAATGTCGCCAGCAATTTCGAAATTATCTTTAAAAATTCCGGAAAAAGCTAATGTATCGAACTCGCCAACCATGCAGAAAATTGATTCTAAGGATACTGACAAACTGAAGAGAAATCAAATTAATTCTAATGATAGAGCAATTGAAATTACAGAAAATGTGAAAGACAAGCAAATCTTGGAAGAGAATCATGCTAAAGAAAGTACTGTGGAAAATGAAGAAACCGAAGAACCTCCGAAAGTTAAGTCAATAGAATCGGAATTAAACGAGAATTCACAAGCGTCGAACTCGACGCATAACGATCCGTCCGCAGATCTTGGCAAACAATTGGAAGTCGAAAACGCAATCGAGGAAAGCTCGGATGCTTTCAACTCCGATTCCGAGTGTTCTGAAGAGGACGAAGACACAGGAACGGCGAAGTACATTTCTGATCATAACTCGGAATACAATTCTGTCGAGGAATTCACGGACGCGGAGTTGTTGTTGGAGAAAACGTTAAATGAGATAAGGTCTGAAATATCGGAGTCTGAAGAAGAGTGCACAAGCGAATCCGAAGAAAGTGAGGTCGTCACTTATTCGTACGAGACGGAAAGCCACGATCATGATTCTACATCGTCCGAAGACTCGGTCGATGAACAGGAGATTAAGTCAAGTGAATTGGAAGATTCGATGGAAGATGTATATGAAGAATTATCGTCCGAAGGGGAAGAGACGAATGAACAAGTCGAAACTTCGCAACAAGTTGAAGTGCTTGATAAAGAGACCGACGTTATAATACACAACGAAATAAATGACAATGAAACCAGCATTTCGAACAGAATGGAGAGTAATTCTCAGGTTACGCAAGATAAAGAAAATAATTTGAAGGCACCAACGAAAGCTGCTACTACAGTCGTAGAATTACCTCGGACGGAAATAAACTCGGAAATTAATGAAAACACATTAGAAATTTCTCAGAATCTTAAAGTAGATTCTAACATTGCTGTAATAGATTCGGCGACAGCATCTTCAGCGAATATCAAGCAAGATACAAATTCTAAAGAAAATATCCAGTCACAAATGAATGGCTCGAAGAAGAATGAGACAAAGCTTGAAGTTGTGAGCGAAATCGAGCAAAGAGATCAATCGACAATGCAGACCGACGCGATAAAGACACTGAGAGTCACGAGCCGCGAGTCACGAGATAAACGCGTGAAAGTAGGTCGAAGAGCGAGTACGGGTAGTAAAGAGGTCAAAATCGAGAAAGATGATACATTAAAGGGGGTGGATCGGGCGCGAGCGCCCAAGAAACGATTTTCCCTCGTAGCCAGTTTCATCCGTCGGTTCGAGGGCGAAGAGAATGCCGAAAGGGAAAGCATCAGGCGCAAGAGACAAGGATCTCCCAAAACGGAGCGGGAGGTCAGTAGACGAGAATTGCCAAAGCGATACACGACCCCTCCTCCCTCGTAGAAACGTCAGTTGCCAAAAAGTTCTCGCGAATGTTCGAGCCGCCAAGAACCGGCCTTTTCTACAGTTGGCAGGCCAATGTCTACAAACAGCTCGAAATGCCAAGTGGGTGGGAAAGGGGATCGAACGCAACAAATAAGTGTTCTCTCAATTTTAACCGCGCGTTAATTGGTTAATCGTTTAACTATGACTAGTTAACGCGAAGGTAAGTATTATGTCGTGACTAATTCATGATTCGTAATGAAAAAAAATATTATATATCTTCTAAAAAGTGTTTAATTACTTAAGAAATTTTTTTTTAATATTATATTAGATATTCTCCATATTTTAAATGTAAAACATTTAAAGTCTTCTATATATGCGTAAGCATCCATTATATAAATATATCAATTACCATTTCATTTCAGTAGTAGACGAAATGTTGATGTTTTAGTTGAGACGTATGTTTCTTGAAAGTCTTATATTTATCAAATGAAACAGAGCTCGTTTCTAGACGTTGGTGCGGTCTACTTCCTCTTCTTTTGCATGACAAAAATTTTGAGAACTTCCTACTTTCGAAATAATTTTAATTGTTAAGCAACAGAATTCATTTGTTCATTTCGTTCTTCATAATTCATCTATTGAATTTAGATGCGAAAAAAATGTCAATATTGCACAATATGCTCCATAATTTCCAAAATGCCGCTTATGTTGTACTAATTACACACACAGACTTGTTATAAATGGTCCATGTTTATATATCGATAAACGATAGATCTCAAGCTTTCCACTTTAGGTCGAGATTTGTAGACGAAGCTAAAATACCCTTTTTATACCATATGTGGAAACTACGTACGTGCCGATATCGGAGCAATCTTATGTCCGTCACGTGTGCAGAGAATAGCGCGTCGTCTCCTGGCAGAGGGTCGAGCCGCGAATTACGATGAGGCCGAGGTCGCCGCTAGTTTGCTAACTCTCAAGTTCGGGGACACCGAAGCACTCCAGGCCGCGAAAGAATGCTCCAGCATAGAATCGGCGCTAGCTTTCTTGCAGCAGGAGTGCGAGCTGTGCACCGGTCGTTTCGCGATGAGTCAAGTGAGTGTCCAGTTATCGCGAGGAATCTGAAAAATTAAAGAATGCGAAAAGTAAAACCTCTTGATTAATTTCAAAAAAGAAGTGTCACTTTCTTGTGTTCTTAAATTTCTATCCGGATTTATTCATCTTCGCAAATCTTATTTTACAAAATTTATTCTAATTTATTAAAATAATCAAGAAGATGATACACAAGAGATGTCAGCAAGGAAGCGCATTGTCATTTTTTTAATTCTTATTCTACTTGTCAATTTTTCTCACTTAGATCGTGTCCATGCTGAAGTGTATACATCGCTGCTGCAACGAATGCGCGAAGAATTACTTCACCATTCAGATCAGCGACAGGAACATCACAGATGCCGTTTGTCCGTATTGCAAGGAGCCTAATCTCAAGGATGCGAGCGAAGACGAAGTTCTAGAGTATTTTAGCAATTTGGACATCCAATTGAAGACTCTGCTGGATCCGCCAATACATGAGCTCTTTCAGAGAAAACTCAGAGATCGGACTTTGATGCAGGATCCAAATTTTAAGTGGTGTATTCAGGTAATTATTTAATTGCAATCTTCAAATTCACTATTTAAAAAAAAATTATTTTCCAGTGTTCAAGCGGATTTTATGCTGATCCTGATCATAAGCGCTTAATCTGTCCCGATTGTCGATCTGTCACTTGTGCTTTTTGCCGAAGACCGGTATGTATGAAACTATTATGATTTCGATATGCTTGTGTTAAACAAGAAGGCAATAATTTATTTTTGTATGTCTACTTTAGTGGGAAAAACAACATGAGGGAATCTCATGCGAGAAATTTGCCGCTTGGAAGGATGAGAATGATCCCGACAATCAAGCCGCAGGTTTGGCCAAACATTTGGCCGACAATGGCATCGATTGTCCTAAATGCAAATTTCGTTATTCGCTGTCTCGAGGAGGTAATAATAATTATTACACTTTACTGCAAAGATAATAATAATAAGGAAACAATTTTACATTTATTCAGTTTTATTTTGGGATTTTATCATTTAATTCTCGACTTTAATTATTTAAGTGTAATTTGCGTCTTTTACAAAAAATTGCTTCATAACATTTTTTTCTTTGACATTAAATATTTCTAAAAGAAAACCATTACTATACAAAATTGCAGAATATAAATTCTGCAATGGTTATTGTTTTTATTCTGTTTTAAGGAGGTAATATTAACTACTACATTTTACTGCAAAGATAATTTACATTTATTCAATCTTATTTACTACTTAATTTTATCATTCACAATTCTCGACTTTAAGTGCATCCTAATTGTTTAATTTGTATCTTTTTCATAAAAAGAATTGCTTCTTCTTCCTTTGATGATAAATATTTCTAAAAGAAAACCGTTATTATAAAAATTGCAGAATACAAATCACGCAGTGGTTATTACTCTTATTTTATAAAAACAATATGGTAATGGAAGAATTAATGAATGTTGATTCCAAATATTATCTTAATATATGCAGACCATTTTAATACCACGTTATTTTTTTTTTATCGATCTCGGGTGATTTAAAATATGGGGCGAGATATTTTTTCTAAATTATTCGATATGCATATCACAGGAACATTTTTCGAAGCTCGCTGAAAAAAAGAGGGCTCGTGAATTTTTATAGGTTGCATGCATTTCACGTGCAGTCAGTGTAAATATGAGTTTTGCTGCGGTTGCGGCAAGGCTTTCATGATGGGAGCAAAATGTGCGGTCAGCCCTTATTGCGCTAAACTGGGCCTGCACGCCCATCATCCACGCAACTGCCTCTTCTACCTTCGTGATAAGGAGCCGGCGCAGTTGCAGCAGTTACTCAGAGAAAACGACATCAATTACGACACCGAAGGATCCGTCGGACAACGCAAATGCAAGGTGCAACTGCAGAAAGAAACGCCGACCGGGGTCGTGGATGCTGTGTGCAATTCGGATGTTGTCGAGGGCCACGCTGGTTTGTGCAGGTAAGCTCCATCACTCGATATTCGCTACAAATTTATTTATAAAGTTAAAAATTGAGTTAACAGATTATAAAGCTAAAAGATAAAATTTTGAAATCTGTTTTGAAAAACTTTATTATTATCCATTTCAACAATTATAAATGATAAAAGACTGCTAATAACAGTTCTTACAAAAAAAATTCAATTAAGATTATAAATACTATAATATGTATCTCTTTCTTTCATATATAATAAATAATCGAGAAATTATTTATAGAAATAGTTTCGCGTGTCAATTAAAGTTGCTTCAGTAATTCTTCGAAATCAAAACCTTCAGTCTTGAGGAGACTCTAAATAATACATACAATCCGCAATGCGTTCGTCGATCGGCTTTAGAATTTCAGGCTGTGTTCAGAAACTTTTCTCAACAGCATCCAGATATCATTTTATCCTTGTTTAATATTCGGTGAACAACAAAAGACAAAATGGTATACCCTGAATTCCTGAACGCATCCTCACTCACGAGTATATTGAGAATACTTATCAGTCCCAATCTCGCGGCGATTCCAGGCGTTTTCTCAAGCGATCTCATAGTAAAGCCGCCACCTTTTTCTGTCCCGCTCTTATTTCTCCCCCCAGTCGATCGCTAACGAGGTCCTCCGTGTATCTCTCAGGATTCATTACGTCGAGTATCTAGTTCGAAAGATCCGTTTGACGCAGCTGGAACCGCTGCCCTTGCTAAACGTGGACGATCTCGAAACGTGCGTGCGACGCGCCGGGCTGAAACTGCCCGCGAACTGGTACGGGCGCGACCCGGAGCATTACAGGAACGACCTGGTTAAGGTAAACGCAAGCGGGGAACCGCATGTCGTGGGCCTGACTAAAATCTTGGGTACTTTTCCCCCGCAGGCAGCACTACATTGAATACTTGGCGGGCCTGGTGCTCAAGGGCAGGCTGGATCCCGTGGCAATCTTTGACTTGAACGACGCCAAGCAAGAGTTGCGCCGACGGGGAAAAGTTCCCCCTGCGAAGGACCAGGAAATGTCCGAGCGGGATTACCTCGAGGCTTGCATTCAGGTGACTAACACGATTCCTCCGTATCCTCTTGGTCCTCCTCTTCTTCCTCGTTTTCCTCCTTCGCCGCTGCTGCTAGTCTGTTCCTCCAGTTTTTTCGGTTCCTCCTCGCATCTCCTGCCTTGACCCACTGAATTAACATAGCAGTTGCATGAAAGTAGAATTCCTGCGTGCACGTGACATTCGTAAAGTGAATTCGACAAAATCGTAAAAGTGGATAAATTGCCGCGAATCGCTATTGAACGGTTGTATCTCGTATTGCTGACGTTTTGCGGTATTATTCGCACTTATAATTCTTTCCGAGCGCACTATGAAGGATAGATGAGCGGAAGGAGATTAACGAGAATATATATTCTAAATGAAATTTAATTTATATAACGTGTGAAATTGTTCTCCATATTTAAAAAAAATTCTTTCCTATTCTGTTCTTTTGTAGAATAAAATTTCATTTTAGTCAGTCTGCTGAAATTAAGAAATTCAAGAAAAAAAAAATTTATATAATAAGATTAAAATGCATTACAGCAGACGTTTTATATTAAGAATTTAATTAATTAATTCGACATTGAGCATAATGTATATAGAAACATAATTAGAGATAATTATAAAATAAAATAATGGATTTATTATGTAATTAAAGAAATTATAAAATAATAGATAAAATTATACAGTTAAAGAAATGTTTTAACGAAATCTTATGTTAACGTTAGGTATTTAAATTCGTGATATTAATTCTAGTTAACTGATCTATTTTTCTGTATATATACATTCTAGGCGGAATTTCAGAATAATGTGTTAATAAATCGCATAAACAGCTAAATTATAATGTTGCATACTTCCAAATAAAAATTTTACAGATAAGTAATCTGATAAAATATGATATCTGATAAAGTATACATTACGAATTCGAAATTATTAAATGTATGGATAAAGCTAATACATGACCCACTTTTGTCAATTTTTGATAATTTTTGATAATTCTCTCATTCTAAAAATTAAAAGAATTCTGTCGGATATGCTGCCTATATGCGCTATTTAAAGCGAAATAAAAATTTAATATTGTGGATCCGCGCGGCCATTCGCAGCTTCCCACTGCGTAAATAACGATTTCCCTATCCTGTGTGAGTTGCCTTTTTTATGCGGATATCGAAGTAAATAAGGTACGAGCGAGGTATGTGCTGCGGGAATACATTAAAATTCTACAACTTCGCCGTACATAAAGTATCCTCCGATGTTGCAGGTCGTAAAGCAGGAGATTCCACTGGAGTGACTGCGGAGAATCTTGGAAAAAAAAAAACGGACGCGCCTATCCGGAGCCATAAGTGACAAATCGTATATTGTATAGTGTATTTATTTTATTGGCATGGACCACAAGCCCACAAAGTGAAAATAATGTAGGAACAGAAGTAGTGCAATACGAACGTCACTTAGTTATAATGCCAAAAACTTGTTTACTTTTCGATGGGACGTGATTTATATGTTAATTCAACGTCTCATTCGTAAACATTCGGCGAGAAGAAATAGTGTTCATCTCTACGTGTTCTACTTGTAACAACTGAAGATGTGCAACGATGCAATCAACGTTTCTTTACTTCTTGATAGATAAAGTAATTGTTAATGGGAGTTATATAATTGTTTGAAAATATGTATTTATTTCTGCTTTATATTACTGTTTTCCAAGAAATAGATAATTTAGTTTAAAAACATATTCATGATTTCTTTCAAATCTTAATTAGTAAGAATTATATTTATAATCATTATTTAAATCTTGTCTTAAAATATTCTTATTATATAGTGAGGTATTTATAACAGATTCATATTTTGAGTTGTAAACGGTTAAACAATAGTCGTCTTTAGAGAATAAATTAGCTCCTTAGCTTATCGACTTAGAAAAGTCTCATAAGAATTGTATTAATGCAAAGTGTGTTTTGTTTTAAAAATAATATCCACTTACATATGTTGATATCTTGAAGATAGAGGTATGATTCTAAATTCAAAATTTTAATTATACTTTTAATAATTAAATTCAAACACTTGTTTTATTCATTTTATTAAAAAATGTTATTATCTATTATTATACAAATATTTACAATATATAAATATGTATCTATATTTTTCAACATAACTCGGCTAGAAAACTTTGCAAGTTTCTTGTTTTTGGAGGTGTTTTATTTTCCATAATACGTTTTAATCGCTCTATATTCAATTTCTTGGATTTTTTAGGGGAAATAGATTTCTTGTTACTTGTAATTATTTTAGGTGTGATCGCAGACGATATTGTAGGTGTTACATTATTATCTTTCTTGTTCAATTGTAATACAGGCGTGCAACCTGAGATATTTAAACCAGCAGTTTTGTCCTTAGATTTCTTTTTTTTCTTTTTACGATTACTTTGTGGCGTCTCTGTTTGTGAATTATTCAACTTTACTGGCTTTGAATGGCTTTTCTTCTTGAATGGCAACTCTGTGTTCTTGGAACAGACAGAACATTTAATGACCAATCTATTCATCTCATTTTTTATAGATTTTTGTGCCAAGGTTGCACGAACTTTTGGAATCTTTTGATTTGGATTTTCCTTCACGTATCGCATAATCTTTTTCATTGATTCAGACATTTTTCTACCTCTTGTTATCCGAACTTGATGATCTACTGTACTCCAAAGTGACCCACAATGCGAACATGCTGTTGATGGTCCGAAATTCTGCTGTGGCAACTCTATACTGCTAAAATTTTTACATTTTTGCCTGAAAACATTTTAATAAATATTAAAAGGAATCCTTTTATATAAATCTGCTGACAATATATTTATATGAGTATGAAAGTACAATTTATTTCTCTCTTCAGATTATTTAAAATTATTGTCAAAATATAATTATGAAGTTATTTTTAACAAAGTTATTTTAATTTCTACATGTCTCAAATAAATATTTAATAATAATCAAACAATAATATTAACATTTTTATTAACGAAAAGATTTAATATTTCTTTATATTTATATATAACTGTATTTAATGTTATAAATAAATAAAAAGCATGCAGGAAATTACATGTAAAACATCTGTAAATCTGTAACCAATGGACACTTCAGCTTCATTACGAATTGATTGACATTCCATAAATGTTTAATGGTCTCCATAATTGTTATGAAATACTGAGGTATATGTTTTTTCCTGTTTACACGCTGATTAATCTGGTCACGTGTAATTCCGACAAAACAATCGTGAAGTTCGCCGCGTGGTTCCCGTGATTCCCTTTAACGTTGATCGAAAAGACAACACGACTGCCTCGTTAACCCTTCCACCGTTTCGACAATCAGCGTAAATTAAATTGAACTTGAGGGTACTTTGCTTTATAAAAAAATTGCCCGTGCGCCTCGTCTCGTAACTCGACGTGCGTTCCGTTCTGTCAGAGAAAAACCTCAGAGAAGCTATCCCAGCGTTTATTTTTTGGAACCGTCGAAATCGCCAGTACACTAACGCCAGTACATTCATTTTCAATTTGAGAACTACGTAGCTACGTACCGACGATAAAATCGCAGTTTCGAGAATAGGTGTGGTGCGAGTTTGTGTTGAATCGCGGTGTCGAAAATGAATATGTATAGGTGCGAGTTTTTGTGATACAAACATAAAAACGAGTTAAAACCCACAATTGTGGGTGTAGCACGGATTGACATCTATCCATTTTTAACACTGCGATTTAACACGGACTCGCATCACATCTATTTTTCGACACGATCTTATCGACAATTTCGCAAAATTAACGTGGTACTTAGTTCCTATGTCGCAAAAAAGATGTTGGTGCGCTGATGTAAACATCCCACGAAAAAGGCCGGGATGGCTGGTGCTCTCAGGTTTCTCTGCTCCGATATCGACATCCGATGTGCTCCGACGCAGTGCAGCCAACGTCAGGAAAAACGAGAACGCTGCGACGTTCCGAAACTCATCTTACGTTGTCCTACGGTCGTTCGTTCCTCGACCGCGCCTCCTGCGCGATTTGGGAGCGATTTTGATCTACCGTCTCTCTCCCGCCAATTCCAAGCGGTACATCCATCCCGCTTCGAGTGCGGACAGTGCGAATTTTCTTTCTCTCGAGCAGACGAAACCTACGGCGAGGACCGCGATTTCTTCTCTACGTTCGCACGACGTCGTGGACGATACGAAGGTGGCGGAGGGGGGAATTCGTATTTTGTCATCCTTGTTATCGATGCACCGGGAGCTGTTCTGTCAAACAGTCAAACAATAGAAGCGAATCGTGTTCGTCGTGCCGTGGCAGTGAGTTGGTCCCATCGTCGTTCGACATGTCCGCTGCTGAAGAACGAGAACGTCACGTACAGCTCGCATAGCAACGATGCGATCGGCGGTACGGTACGCCGCGGTTCTCGCGCTCCGTTCGCTCGCGAGAACGCGTTCGCGCCCGAGAATCGCCGCTAAGAGGATGTCATTATCTCGTTTGTCATTGCAGACGAAACACAGTCCAATGTGCACACCGTTTCTACGATTGGCCCGGATGAGCTGCCACCGCCGTATCAGTCCGCCATCCAGGGCGGCATGCCAATGGTCACCTGCAGAGTTTGTCAAGCGATGATAGATATTTCTGGAAAAAGAGATCAGCACGTCGTCAAGTGTTGTCAATGTAACGAGGCCACAGTACGTTTCCAAAGATCATTTCTTTTTTGTAGTTTGTTTACTAATAGGTAATGTTAATGTCATGAGTCTCTATCGTCTTCTTTTCTTGCACAGCCTATACGAAATGCTCCACCTGGAAAGAAGTACGTACGATGTCCGTGCAATTGTCTGCTCATATGCAAGAGTTCTTCGCAGCGTATTGCCTGCCCCAGGCCAAATTGTAAACGTATTATTAATCTTGCTCCAAGCCCTATTACACCTCCAGTTCTGTCCATGCCAGGCATGTGCAGGGTAGGCTGTGCCCATTGCCATGACACATTCTTGGTGAGTCATCAAAGATATATATGGTATATTAAATCTATAATGTGTTCGTTTTTTGTTTATTTTTTTGCTTACCTCTTGCTTTTTTTTTCCTTTGCAACCATTTTATCAACGTATATCTTCTCAAGTGTTTCTTGTCTCTTTTTAAATTCATTAACTTTTATCTCAGACGACGAAACAAAGAAACAAATAAGAGGCAAAAAGGCAAGAGGTAAAAATGCAAAAAAACAGGACAAAGTACATTGTAGATTAGACTTCAAAATTATTAGCTATGTTCAACAGATACAACAGTTGTATGAACATTCAGTAATTATTGTGTGTGATTGGAATAGACCTTTAAATTTATGATAAATCTAGAACAATATATTGATGCTCATTCTACTGTTGTGTCCGTTGAATGCGCCCATTGTTTCACTGACTTTCATCTCTTCAATGAAATGTTGTTTTTCACAGTTTAACACATTAAATAACGCTTTGGCTCGATGTCCACATTGCCGTAAGATATCCTCCGTTGGTCCAGACTTTGCTAGAGGAAGAGGAATTGTATTCGTTTTCATTGGGATTATAGCCTTAATAATTGCTATAGCCGTAACAGTAAGTATACAAACTTGAATTCTTCTTTGTATCTAGTATGTTTATGGTGGAAGAAGACAAGGTGTAACAATTTCAAGGATGAGGAGTAGTCAACCAATAGAATTGCTAGTCGTCTTGCAAAAAGAAACATGGCTCCTTCCTGTCATTCTGTCATCACATGTCATAATATATTACAATACGTATACATAATATATATGAAGAAAAGGAAGAAATTTATGTAGAATTAGTGAAATATTATACAAGTAAGTAAGAAAAATATCTATAGATCACGTAAAAAATATGTAATATATATTTTGTATGTTACAAAATATATAATATACATTTTATATATTACATATTTTAAGTATTAATTTTTATTAATTTATGAGGCTTTGTAATAATTTAATTTGACTTAAACTTGTATCATTGACTGCGTTCAGCAGAGAAAACTATAATCAGAATAGAACATTATTACTTCAGCTTACAACTGCCAAGAAGGAACTTAGTTTACAATAAATACCTTAACCACACTCATTCTTCCACACTGTAAAAGACCTAACACTATTTGACTCTATCTACATTTCTTATTCACTACGCAGCAGATACCTTATTCTTAACTTCTTGCTCATTCCTACGTATCTGTGCTACTGTAGTCTATCCTATCACAGCTCAATATATCACAGTACAGATTCTTCTATTTATCTTATAATATATATACACATCACAGCCTATCTATAATATACATACATTTCATATAATATAATATAATATATACATATCACATAACATTTCTAACAGCCTACCTTATGCAACCAGACGCAATCCTGTTCCACAGTAATAAAACATATTAATCCATGTCTTGTTATCTCAACAGTTCTCTCCTCATCAGTTCTCTTTTTCCTAATCTCTTTTCTCTCTTTAATTTTTCTAAAACTTTACTTTTTTCTGAATCTAATTCTTTGCTCCAAAGTTTCCTCCATATTTCCTCCCTGTCTTCACCTAGATCCCTGAACCAACTGCATACTTTTTGACATTCATTGACATAATATTGATGCAATCCATCCCTATTTCATAAAACGTAACTTCTAAATTCCTTATCTAACCGGTATTTATTTCCTTCTTCCATATTTCGGCATCTAAGTGTCTTACCAACCCTCTCACACCTTCGTCTATTCCAAACCTATACAGGTTTTCCTTCCTTAAATAGTTGAGCATCTATTCCTCATATCAAACTCCTTGTACCTTCCATTGTATCTCGCAGTCCTCAGCTTACTGACCTCCACTGTTTTTGCACATCCCTTTCCCTCCTAATTATTTCCTCTTCTAAACTCCCTTTATTATCATCGTCCACTAATTCTGTAATATCGATCCCCTATCCGTTCCTATTATAAAACTTTTCTCTTTCTCTACTATATAAATCCTTCCACTTGCCCTCTTCCTTCTTTCTCTAACATCCTAATAAACTATCTTCCTTTGATCTCTTTATTCTCTTCTTATACCTCATAGTTCTTATTTCCCAGCCTATCCTTAACTTATCCATAGCTAGTTGCCTCATTATCACATATCTCAGGGTGCAGAATTCTATACTGAATATCTATCTCACGTAATCTAATATAATTTTCTCAAGACTTCCCCTTTCTTCCCATCCTCAAATCTCAACACCATATCCCATAACACTTTGAACCAGATATTTAAACAGTATCCATCTCCTTATAAAATTGTCTGCATAGTCTTTCCCCTAATCCCCATACCTTTCTAGCAACCATCCTCCCTTTCTTACTCAATTCCCCTATGTGATCCTCATAATCGTCTTTCCTATTGAGTGTGAAACCTAAGTTCTTGAAAGATTGAACCTTCTCAATTTCTTTGTCCTCCCATTTCCATAATTCCTTCTTTTCTTTCCCATGCTTATTAAATACTACTATCTTCGTTTTTTCGGCGCATAATTTCCTACTTTTTAAAAATCTCCTAAGTGTATCCATCATATCTAACAGCGCAACTCTATTTTTCGCTAACAAAACTATATCGTCCGCATACGCTAAGTTCCAGATTTTTGTACTATCTATCGCAACTCCTCCTATATCCAAAACTATAATTCACATTGAATTATTTAAGCATTAAAGATCTAGCTTCGACCGTTATAGGCATTTAAATATTTTTTGGAAACCCAAAATTTTGAATAAATATATGATTACATTTTTTTATATAAAAATTTTGAATAAATACAATTTGGAGCTCAATTACAAATTTATGCAGTTGCGCTTAGTGTTTCTTTAATACGATTGGTTCCTACTAGTGTGCCCGATGAATACATAAATTTGTAATTGAGCTCCAAATTGTATTTATTCAAAATTTTTATATAAAAAAATGTAATCATATATTTATTCAAAATTTTGGGTTTCCAAAAAATATTTAAATGCCTATAACGGTCGAAGCTAGATCTTTAATGCTTAAATAATTCAATGTGAATTATATATAATATGTACTATATATGTACATGCATATATACCATATTTATAGCCTTCAAACTACGAGTCGAATTTTTCGGATTTATAAACGCAATTTTATTTGATGATCATTTGTGAATCGATTTGTGAATTATGTAGAATCACCTATGCGAGAAACGGAAGGGCCCTGGCACACAAAAAACTTAAGGCAGTAAGACGTAAGCAGCAAGGAAATCAACATGTTGGATTCGCTACTGCTTATGTTATGGCCTTACGGACTCTACTGTGATTGGTTAATTCGCTTACTGCTTACGTTTTATTGCTTAAGTTTTTTTGTGTGCTATGGCCCGAACGCAGCCTAATTTTCTCTGCTGAACGCAGCCACTGATTAATCTGAATATGTCGCGCCACATTTTGACTAGCATTTTGATTGGCTCATAACGTGGAAGAACATTATTACACCTTGTCTTATTCCACCATGATCTTTTATTTTGGCTGTGTTCCAAAATTCACTGCCAGCACTGAAAATCTACAGTTTACGTTACGTATACTGTACATTTTCAGAACTGGCAACAAATTTTGGAACATACTCATTATGTTGAACATAATTACAGGTCGGGACCTATAAATATGTAAAAACAAATGGTGGAATTTATGTAGCTTATGTTGGTAAGTATAAACATTGTTTTAAATCTTGTCTCTGAGAGAAATCTTGTGTCTAAGAGAAATCTTGTTCCAAATAGAGAAAGAATTAATCAATCGCATTGGCCAAATTGTTCTAATGTGATTTGTTGATTCTTTCTCCAAGATCTTGGAGTAAGCTTTTTAGCATCGTAGACACAAGCTTTAGATTTCGAAGCTTATTGATAATTTTATCATTCTTAGTATTCAAACTTTGTTGCAATAGTTCGTTTATTACATTTTGGATCACATTTCCAGGTGCATTTCTGTTGGCGCTTTTATGCTTGGGCCGCAGCATTTATTATTGTACGATGAAGATCAGTTTGATAGAGGGTCCTATGTAGTCTCCCAAACAACAGTGAACAACCAACAATACAAAATCAATTCCACTGAGATGAATGTCATGTAACCTATTTAGAACAAATGTTTATAGTAATATGACATTTCAAATCCTTTTAAGGCAAGAACAGTATATATATATATATATATATGGCCATATGTGCGTATGCAGATCTATATTGTTTATGATAATGCATGTATACATTATATATAATATGCATACACATATGAACATGTTTCGTAATCGGGAAGAAAGCAAATTTATTTACGATACTTTCTTCAGATAAGATTAATGATCGTAGGAAATCTTTCTCGGAAGCCTGTATTTTATGAAGAATTGTTCCTGTGCACTTTTATATGTACAAGCATAGGAGCAATAGCTATGGGCTTTGAGTTTTATTTTCAACCTACTGACTAGAGAATACTCTCTATATATATATATAAATATATACATATATACATACATGCTTTCTATAATACATCATGCGTATCGAGTACACATAGATAGAATCAAAGTGCAAACGTGCTCATATTATTCCAAATGTACGTATATAAAGTAAGTTTTAAAAATACCATATACGAGTCTGTACGAATCTGTTTTTAAATTTGTTCTTACATTCTATATATATAAAAAACATGTGTATTGAATACATTAAAAAATTATATTGTTTGAAATAAATTTCTGGGTTTATATGGACTTTGTAGCACATTTGAATGCAATTACGAGGAAGATAAAAGTATCAGTGTATATATTAATATTATAAATAATGCACTTAGGAAATATAAATCCAAATACGTGATTATATATACGAAGGATGTGAGATGTTTTTTTAGTTTTCACTGTCATAAAATACATTTCATCGATTATGAAAATTAAAATATTCCTGTTGACGATTTTCGTCATGTACTCCTTATAATCTGCAATGCTCTTTTAAAAATACATTTCTTCTTTCTACACAACTCTTACTCAATTCTATATAAGTTTCCTTTATCATATAATGAAAAATATGTTATACTTGTTAAAAAAATAAATTCCGTTTGGTAAAAAATTAACAGTTGTATTTATTACACGTTATATGAATAAACTTATCGATCCGAAAAAAATGAGTAATTATTTAATTAATTGCCATATGAAACATTTTGTAAGTATATATGCGATATACAGAAAGATTAAAAATATTATTGAAGTAATTAACAAATAAATTATAAAATAGACCGACAGTATTATATAGAGTATTATATAATTTGTATTTTCGATTATAGATTTAAAAATCGACCCATACCCTCCTAATTATAATCACATTCAATTGATTGAATTGTAGAATAAACAGCTCTGCGAAATGATATTTGGAACATTTAAAATTCCCGCTGAGAGAGATGTAAATGAAAAAAAAAAAATCCCTAGTATCAGTCACGCTACTGCGGAACAGCTGATTGCTGAAAGTAGCGAAAAGGAAAATCCGCATCGATAGGGAGGTTACTGAAAAGTATGTGAGAGAAAGGGTCACAAACAGTAATCGCGTCACTGTCTGGAGATACTTGACTTAACATTTTGGACATTAACAAGGAAACACGAACGACGAGTACTGTATCTTCAAATGTGACAGATGTTTGTTGTAAGAGATGTCACAAATTGATATTCAGGATTTATTTAACAAAAGCAGGTAAGACAATCTGTTTTGAAAATATTGCAAAGAATCTGCTGAGCACAGCTATTTTGTTATCCAAATGCATTACTTTTGTTGTAAACACTGATTGAAAACCACAAGAGTGTGAGAGATTTTCTTGCAAGTGAAAAATAGTTGTTTATTGTCATATGGAGTATCTACTGTAAAAGATGTTTAGACATAATAAAAACTGATTCCTTTTTACTATAATTATCGTTCAAACTTAAAGCATTAAATTTTAATCAATTACGTTATGAATTTAGGTTTCCCAGTGGTTGGCGCCTTCTACTTGTAATCTTATATACGCCAATAGGATTTGTACTTGTGTTGCTGCGACTGTTGGTGGTATTGCTGTCTTGGCTTCTAGCATCGCTACTACCTGATTGCAATTCTCTTCGAACATTTTTAAGTTATGGTATTAGGATTGCTTTTGGTATCGTAGTTAAAATCGATACCGACAGTGAACCCAGAGACAAGCAATCGAGGATAATAATCGCCAATAGTGTATCAGTTCTGGATCACTTCGTTCTACGTCGTACGACAGAGACGGTAATCCCTAGCGTTTGGGAGCTACCTACTGCCTTGAGTAACGCGCTGGGAATTCAAAAAATGAATATGAGCAATAAGGAGATACTAATTGCCAACATAAAGCAATTTCTTTCCACTTCCACCTATAGTGTGTCTGTGCAGCCTGAATTTGGTACAACTAACAATCGAGTCGCTCTGTTGAAATTCAATTCCTGGCCGTTCAGTATAGAAACGTCTGTCCAGCCAGTTGCCATCAAAGCATCAAGATCAGAACTTGTACCTGTGCAGCTTACCTCATTAGCTTCAACAAGGTTGACAGAAGCATTTTGGTTTATGTTTGTGCCCTATACAGTTTTCACACTCAAGTACCTGAAAATCAGACGAAACTCTGATCACGAGATACTTGTGCGAGATGTGGAAAAAGATATCGCGGATGCTCTGAGACTTCAGACATGTTCTCATACTGTATCAGACAAAATTGAGTATGAAAAGCGCTATCGCACTCACAGGATACTCAGTAACGCGCGTCCCATCAGAACGCCAAACTCACAAGTTATACATAGCATAGAAATACAAAGGATGGTTCATCAAGTCAGTGAAGTACTTCCATTGGTTCCACAGAATGTGATTCTACGAGATCTCAGTATGTATATAATTGTCTAAAATCTTAATTTAAATTTATTAACTCTTATTATTTTAATTCTTGTTTACGTCTTATTATTTTATTTAATCTTACAGTAATGATTGTATAGCGATTTTTTGGTAACAACAGTTGTTATTAAATCTGCTTGTTTGATTTTTGTCACAGTGAAAACTCGAAATGTTGACATTACGATCGCCAATATTCTTGATGGCATAGTTACTTATACTCCAGAACCTAATCCATCAGCTCAATCATCTGTAACATCGTCCAGTGCATCTTCAAGTTTTGCAAAGGATAAAGGATTGGGTACTACTTCCTTCCAAGAGAAGAAAGCTAAAATGATACAAGAAGCCAGGGAAAGGTATATTAAAAAACATGGACTGATAAATTGCTGACATTCTTACTATTATTTTATTCTGGTTATAACACTGTCATAATAACATCTATATAACATGTTTTACTGTTCATGTATTATATTTACTATTACTTCATGTGTGAATACATCTTTATTTCTAAAATATGATCACACGTAATTGTACAAAACCTATCCATTATAATCATAAGCAATACTTTATAGAAGTTTTTAAATAATGCAATTATCAGTTATGTATTATATAATACGGTTATCAATCATAATAATGGAATTACTCGCTTGAGCAGCAGGGAGATTTAAGACTTTTATATCGAATTTTCAATTATTTCATTGTAGTTAAACAAAATGTTATAGAATATATCTTTTTTTGAGTATATATACGAGGTCAAAAAATTTATATTGTTTTCAAAAGAAAAATTTATACTAGTTTCAATAAATAATAATTTGTACTATGATATATACATAATACAGAGATTATAAAATCTCATAATTTTTAATAAATAAATATAAAAATTACATGATTCTGTTAAATTAAACATAATAAGTAGATGTAATAACTTTTTTAATGAAAATTTAAATAAATTTAGACATATCATTTTAATATTTAATTATAATTGACAATTAAGTCACAAAAGAGTATGGCGGACAAAAGTTTTATTTAAAGTTTTATAAAAAAAGTAATATATATATATAAGCGGAGAAAAGCATGAGATACCAATACAACAATCTATATATACTTAAAATCTATATATTTATAATTACAATTATATAATTATAATAGCATAATTGTGGCTTGTATATATTTATATATACATTTCATATTATTCTTATACTGTCTAAAATTCTCCATGGAGTTCCTCTCGTAATTCCTAGTAATTATGATTATACACAATTAAAGCATATATAATATCTGTATAATGTCTATGGAAAAAAATAGATGAATGTAGGCAAAAATATGCCAATGCCTCTTTAAAATATTTCTTATATATTGTATACTCCATTTATAAAATTTGGAAGACTTGTTTTGTACTATACGTGTTATATGTGATATAAAAAATATAAAATCTATATCATAGAAAAGAATAAATTAAAAAGTAAAATAAAATATAAAAATAATACTTTTATACTATTATAATTAAATTTTATATACACTAAAGAAACTTAATGTTCTCATTGATATTCTCACTTAATAAATGTATGCATATACAGTAATAAATTGTTACATATAAATATAAAAATTTAATAAATGTACATGACACAAATAAAGTGCTTGAGTTCTAAAAATTCAAATCAAACTGTTTCAATGTTTATTACTACACAACTTGTAACTAAGGCCCTGCGCACAATAGAAGGAATAAAGAATTAGGAATAAAGAATAAACGATTTTAACCTATCAGAAATCAGGTATATCGGAATACACGGTTTCTGATAGGTTGAAATCGTTTATTCTTTATTCCTAATTTCTTATTCCTTCTATTATGTGCAGGGCCTAACTATAATAAAAACGAACTATTAAAAATTAGTCATATATGAATCATAGCCAAGAATTATAGTCGCTTTCTTGCTTTCTCTCTCTCAATTATGTTCATTATTATTATATATTATTATATATTAGATTATTAAATTATATGGCCTATTATTGTCTGCTCTTGATTGATAGTAACTATTATCAGTGACTAATTATTCAAAATGCACTTTGTATCAGTATTTAAGATTGCCAAGACAGACATATTTAATATCAAGAAAATCTTCAACTCCATGTTTAGAACCTTCCCTTCCTAAACCAGATTCTTTTACCCCACCGAAAGCAGCCTCCGCGCATGAAATTAATCCCTCATTGACACCTACCATACCGACTTCCAATTTACGCCCAACTCTAAATATTTGCGATATGTCCTGCGAGAAGAAGTATCCAGCTAAACCAACTGGTGTATCATTAGCTTGCTTCAATACGTCATCCTCGCTAGAAAATTTATTTATTACTGCTACGGGGCCAAAGATTTCTTTGTTGTAAATTTGCATGTCTTTAGTTATATTGGTTAATAGAGTAGGTGCATAAAACAATGGTCCAAGGTCTGGCAACGGATGTCCGCCGCAATGTACTTTAGCACCTTTCTGAACTGCGTCCTTTACTAGACCATTTACCATATCCAATTGACTTTTCTTTATGAGTGGCCCATGAGTAATACCTTCTTTACAACCATCTCCCATTTTGATATCTTTCTCAATTTTCGTCACAAACTTCCTAACAAACTCGTCAAAAATATCTGCCTCTACGAAAAACCTGTTTGCCGAGACACATGTTTGACCAGTATTGCGAAATTTACTGGCCATGGCACTATTCACAGCTAGATCTACATCTGCAGATTTAAACACAATATATGGTGCGTTACCACCCAATTCGAGGCCAAGCCGTTTCATGGTTGAGGCGCATTGCTTATATAAGATTTTCCCCACAGCTGTAGAGCCAGTAAATGATAGCACTCTTATCTTTGGATTTTCACACAGCTCTTTGCCAACGGCGGCAGAATTTGTTATACTCGTGGTAAGTACATTCAAGACTCCTGCAGGAAAGCCCGCCTGTTCCGCGAGATCTGCTAACGCCAGTGCCGTTAACGGCGTGTCCTCGGATGGTTTAATGACGCACGTACAGCCAGCAGCAAGTGCGGCACCTGCCTTCCTGGTAATCATAGCATGTGGAAAGTTCCACGGTGTGATTAAGGCTGCTACTCCAACTGGTTGTCTTAATAAAAATAATTCTCTGTTCGAAACAGGAGCCTGTAGTATTTCTCCTCCTATTCTTCTAGCTTCTTCTGAAAACCATTCGACAAAAGAATTTCCATACTTAATCTCTGTTCTAGATTCGGCGAGAGATTTTCCATTCTCTTTAGTCAAAATAAGAGCCAAGTCCTCGGAATGCTCAACCATCAGATTGTACCACTTTCTAAGCAAATCGCTTCTTTCTTTGGCCGTAGTTTTACTGAACGACTCGAAAGCTTTTGCAGCAGCATCAATGGCTACTTGAGTATCGGCAGCATTCATATCAGGAACATGAGCAATTACAGTATTGTCAACTGGATTGCAAATGGGAAATGTCTGTTTGCTACTAGTACCTATCCAATTCCCATTAACATAAGCATTATCCCTCAAGAGATGCATTGTTCTGGAGCTCAAAGGCACATGATGCAATATGTATTGTTGTAACAACTTTATTCTAAGCATTTTCTCTCAAGTGACCAAATGTATTCTGTAAAGAAGAATTGTGATATAAAAATAATTAAATAATAGAAACTTTAGATACAGCTAAAAGTATGTATAAATTATGTATAAAATTATATTACACTGACTCTCCAAACTTATTCACTTATCTATGATTATATTTGCCTCATATGTGATATATATGTTAAATTGTCCTTATCAATGTAATCACGTGTGATTATCTTCCATATGTGACGTATGTGATACAACATGTTTACAATTGCAAATCTATTTTTCATTTCTTATATATTTACATGGGTGGTTCAAGTCAAACATGAACATAAGAATAAAAGTTCCGGTTTGACTTGAATCACTCACGTACTTCCTAATTTATTTCTATAAAGCAGTACACGACATGTTTTCTTGCTGGATTGCTTGCGTTTTGATAAATTAATAAAATTGCACACACACAGAACGCATAATTTCTAAAATTTACTAAAACGCAAGCGATCAAACAAGAAAACATACATCATGCACTGCCTTAATTCTAAAACACAACACTCTTTTCATTTTAGATAGATTAATAACGTTTTTAATACTTACCCTCAACAGGTTATTAATTTGACGAGAGTACTGCGCGTCACTGGTTTTCATTTAACATCCCACCGATCTAGTAATGTTGTCAATTGAAAGCATAATTGACATGATAGAACGAGCTTATATAAGTGACGTCCTCTCACTGCCGATTACATTGCGCTTATAAATCCTCGGTGATCAACGATTCTGTGACTGATTCTGTGTTGATAGTGCCGACCTGCCGACGCGTCGGCGTCCCTCAGTCAATACCCTCTTTATCGAACTTGATTGTTTGTTGTGTTGAAATCACACTGAAAAATATAACGAAGTGTTTCACGCATTATGAGCGGAAATACGAAACGGACCATCTATGTAGGCACGTATAAATTAATAGAAGATATTCAACTAACGTAACTAAACATGCACGTGACATAACCCTCAAAATATCTTTAATCACACAAACTGAATAACTAACCAGTGATCGATTCAACCGGTATAATTGTTTGCAGCACATTTTCTGATTCTACGATTCATTATGCTTGAACTAAATTTTATCTTTATATCAAACAACCACAATAAGTTAATCTTATTTATTTTTTTTATTCCATTAAAAAAAAACTAGGTACTACTTGACAAGTTTGATTGTCCATTAGATAATTAAATTCCTTGACTCCTTTTACATTCTATCCGGTGTCTTTTTATTATTTTAATTTATTAAGTGTTATTATTTTCTAAGATGATGTTTACTAAGTTACTGTAATTGATGATTAATAACAATAAGTTAAAAGTTCCATTTTGCTACAATATTATTACTAACAATGAAAAATATTGTGTGGCAAGTTATCATTCAAGTTCAGATTCTATTCTTATTTTTCAGGTGGTTTAGCCGAAGAAGTCGATGAAAAGGTGTTACATGCAGCATTTATACCCTTTGGAGAAATTGTCGATGTCCAAATACCATTAGATTATGAGTCTGAAAAGCACAGAGGATTTGCGTTCATTGAATTCGAAACAGCAGAAGATGCAGCCACTGCTATAGATAACATGGTATATTTGTGTAAAATGGCATTAATAACATTGGTGAATTGTTTGATAGCATCTGATATCGAGAATTTTATAGACTATGTTGTCGTAAATGATTTATTTTATGAATTGTTGATAAGCTCTTAAAAAATCCTAAAAGTCAGAGTTTTTAAAAATGAATCGCTTAAAGGATATAGAGAGTATTAACATTACTTTGATATAAATCTAACTTTTTTTCCTTATCTAATCTTTAGGCATATGTAAAAACAACGTGATACATTGCTTGTGTTTGCGATAATTTATCAAAATTAATCTATGTTGATTAACAGAATGACTCGGAACTGTTTGGCCGAACTATAAGAGTAAATATCGCTAAGCCGCAAAAGATAAAAGAAGGTTCATCGAAACCGGTATGGGCAGACGACGCTTGGCTACAAGAACACGCGGGCGAGACATTGAAAAATGACGACAATACAAAGACAAATGATGTCGCCCAATCAAAGAAATCAAAACAAAATCCTCAGGTTTACTTTGACATAAGCATAGGAAAGCAAGAAATGGGTAGAATTATCATGATGTTACGAGCAGATATTGTACCAAAGACTGCAGAGAACTTTCGGGCACTTTGTACACATGAAAAGGGATATGGATATCAGGGTAGCACCTTACACAGGATTATTCCAGATTTTGTATCCTTGAATCACATTTTTATTCTATATGAAACCGGTATCTCAGATAATTTTATTTGTCCTTTTTAATTATAAGTAAAAATGTCCTTAACACAAATATCACAGATGTGCCAAGGAGGTGATTTTACGAATCACAATGGTACAGGTGGAAAGTCAATCTATGGCAACAAGTTCGACGATGAGAATTTTGAATTGAAACACACGGGTCCAGGAACTCTATCAATGGCTAATTCTGGTCCAAATACGAATGGATCACAGTTTTTCCTGTGTACAGCCAGAACAGACTGGTTGGATGGAAAACACGTTGTCTTCGGACATGTCCTCAGTGGAATAGATGTACTTAGAAAGGTCGAAAAATGTGGAACAAAAGCAGGCACGCCGACACAAAAAGTCGTCATAACTGCTTGTGGAGAATTAGTATAATTATTTCTGTGTATATACAATTTTTGTAATAAATTGAACTTGTAAAAAAATTAATCACTAAATTTTTATATTTTAAGGCTTTTGAGTAGTCATCACAGCTATATTGAATCGTCAGAAGCAAGAAATGACACGTTAATTTTTGTTATGTGCCATTTGTAAATGAAGACGATTTGGATAAAACGAAATGATGAGATTGTTTTAAAACAATGGTAAAAATGGACGAAAACTATCCTTGTCCTCCCTAACAGTCAGTAAATAATCATAAAAGGCACATGAAAGTAAAAATAGGCTACGCATATACATTGAGCAACAGCACTTCACTTTTTATCATTTTTTACGATTATGATACTGACTGTCATTATTTACTGACTACGTAGTACATATTGTACTCTACACAGGTTGTAGACACGTAACAATAGATTGATACATGTATATATACATACAGAGTTGGAAATGTTATTTAAAAAAAAATGTATGTCACCGTTATTTCTTGTAATGTTAAAGTAAAATATTAGATTAAAAAATTACATAATTTAATAAATATTAATTGTAACAATCAGTATTAAAATTTAAGATTTTATAAACTTTCTCTAGTCTCTATAAACAAGTTTTTCTTTATATTAAAATTTATCTAATAAATCTTTTATAATTTTTTATATTAATATTTTTATTTTTTTAACATAGATTTATGTTGTAATTCATAAATGCAAATTTTATTAAAAATTTTTATTAAACATTTTTAAACATTAATAACATTAAATTATTATTAAGAGTATATTTGAATTTTACTAGATCGATTGTCTTAAAATAAATTGATTAAAATATAAAGTACAAAACATTTTACATGTATAAACATGTGTACATATATTGATTTTATATATATACTCTAAATACACACACACACACACACACACACACACACACACACACACATATACATAAAATTTATATATAGTATATCTATATATTATCACATATTTGCATATATACAATTTACAAACTCAACATTCTTTTTTTCTCTTTCTGCTGTGTCATGATGCAATATCATGTATATACAGAGATTAAATAAATCTATTAAGCATTATTGAAAGATCAAAGTCTACTGAACATGCGAATATGCGATATTGTACATTGCACAACGCTAAACGTATCTGTCTCACATCTTTCAACATGCTACGTACGGTTATCAACCAAAATGTTCGACAATTCAGTGCTAGTGCACAATCCTCGATAAAATGTCATCGACTGGAAGGAAAAGTCGCGATCGTAACAGCATCCACAGACGGGTACGTAATATGAATATTTCATATTTTTAACATTAATTTGAATATTTTGCACAATAGCATTAACGTTGGTTTTAAAAAATCCTATTCTTTTTCGTTTACTATTATAATGCGGAAGTCGATTAATTAGATCGGCTTGATTATTTCTAAATGCTACGATTAGGTTATGTTTTGAATCTTTACAGAATAGGTTTTTCAATAGCGAGACGTTTAGCGCAGGAAGGCGCCAAGGTAATGATCAGTAGCCGTAGGGAAGCAAACGTGAAGAAGGCTGTAGAGGAACTCAAGTCTGAGGGTTTACAAGTCGCTGGTACCATCTGCCATGTAGGAAAGGCAGAAGAAAGGAAGAATCTGTTTGAAAAAGTAAAGAACATGATAAATCATCACTTTCTTTGAGAGAAGCTTATATCTCCATTTCTATAATTTTTCTAATTGTAGGTTGTATCATCATATAAGTACAATTATTATTGGCATATATATTGAGAAGTTAGTTGTAAAATTGTAAAACATTACAGACCAAAACTGACTTTGGAGGCTTGGATATTTTGGTGTCTAACGCAGGTATTAATCCGACAGTTGGTCAAGTATTGGACAGTGATGAAGAAATATGGGATAAGATTTTTGACATTAATGTCAAGTGTACGTACCTGCTAATGAAGGAATCTTTGCCACTTCTTAAATGCAGCAAATCACCTTCTATTATTATTATATCTTCAGTTGCTGGATATCAGCCTTTTAACGTGAGTTTGATTAAAAACACTTTGTCTTTAATTTTGATCTTCTCTATCTATTAAATATTAACGTAGTAAAAGTATTAATAACATCATCAATATATATTTTTCAGTTACTGGGCATATATTCAATTAGCAAAACTGCTTTATTAGGTCTGATTAAAGCTACTACAAGTGAGCTTGCAGATGAGGGAATCCGTGTAAACGGTATCGCGCCAGGAGTAATAAAAACTAAAATGTCAAAAATGGTATTTTTCTACGACTTTCTTAGTCGTGCATTCTCATCAAAACTATATCAAAGGGATATCTCGTACACAAATTATTATGTTTTCAGCTTTACGAGTCAGAAGAAAGTCACGAATTGGTTAAAATGAGTAATAGTATGAGAAGACTCGGAATGCCCGACGAGATTGCAGGCACAGCTGCATTTTTAGCAAGTGATGATGCTTCTTATATTACTGGTGAAACTGTAATAGTGTCTGGTGGAACAAACTCAAGGCTCTAAATCATTTTGTAATAACATACTTGTTTTATATTATTCTATCTGCAATTTACGTTTGTGCAATAATATTGGGAAGTTCTTTTTTACTGGGAATTATGGAATTATTTTTTTAAAATTGTGTATGTATATATATATACATACACATATATATACATATCTATAAATTTATATTAACCTGGTATACTCATCAGTATATGGGAAAAAATTGTAAAAAGTATTACGTAAAAAAAAACAAAATAAAAACTAACAAAGTCATACATTTAAATAATTGTATGAATTATTTAAATGAACCTATGACTGGTATTCATAATCCTTTCTTATTTTAATAATTGATGTTAATTAATGTCATTTCATTCATTGTTTTAAAATGCTAATACAGCTTTGATTGACATAATAAATTTTTAACATAATAAAATTGTATGTACTTAAACAGTTTTAAGGATGTATCTGAGATACAATCGTTGACAAAAGTCCCCAAATTCGAAATATTTGCATAACTGCGCCAAACGTGTAGTAAATCTAAAATATATTTATTTTTAAAAAGTTATTTTTCACTTTTTCAATATTTTATTAACTTTATTTGTCATTTTTCAATTTTCTACAACAAAACGTTATTTACCAGTGCAAAATGAAAAAAGAGTAATTGGAATATGGTTAAAAAAGAAATATATATGCATTATTTAAACAATTAAATATATTATTATGGCAGAATATGCTATATTGAGCCATACATACTGCAAAATTGTTTATGAATAATAATTTCTTTGAAACCGCGTTGTGAAAATAAATCTAATTTTGCAAAAGTTCCAATAATTTAGGATCTATATGTATAAAAAAAATTAAATTTTTGGTACTATTTCTTCAATACTTTTATTACTAATTACATTCGACAAAGTTGTGTTTCCCATAAGAAAACGTCTCTTATAAACCTTTAATACTAATACTGGCCATTTAATCATTTATTTTCAGTATTAAAAACTATTAATAATATTTTTAATACTTAAAATAAGTTATTAATTGGCCAGTACTAGTATTAAATTTTTATAATCATCATAATTAAAATAATAATTACTCTCTAACAGTTTAGTGAATCTACTTGAAAATTTTTTTAGTATATTACAGATAACAAAGGAAGTTTCCCGAAGTTTCATCAATTTGGTACTATTTTTGGAATAGCTCAGATATATTCTTAAATAAGAAGTGATTATAAACATACATAATTTTAAAGTATATAATGTAAAAAATATATATTCACAAAATTTTAAAATAAATTTATGCATCGGATCGTAATAATTCACATATTGTGACATAGGATTTCGGGAATAATTTCATAACTAATCTCAATCAATTTAATAATTGATTTACTTGCAAATTCATCTGTTAACAATTAAGCTATTTTTTTATGACCTCGTATATAATTTTTTTTCTTTGAAAGGACCTAATTGAAAGTCTTGCTTTTTCTGTTAAGTAAACATTGGCCTGTCAGGCAAATATTTCTTTCGAAATATCGCGCGAAATGCAGCGAGCAAAGTTACAAAGCCAAATAGGTACGCATATTTGACAATTATTGAAGAGTGATAATCGTCGATAAGAGTTGTGTCGTCATCGACGATCGAACGTCATCGCAACAGCGACGTTCGCGGTCGACGCCGTGTGACGTCTGACGTCGGGTTTGACGTGAATCGCGGCGCGATCGATTCGTTCGATTCGAGCTCTCGAGCTGCCCGCAGCGCCACCAGCGCGCCCCGCTGCGGCGACGAGTGACGACACCGTTAGGCGCCGCGACCGCGATCTACCTCTCAGCTCGCTTTTATTTACCCTATACACACATACATCGACACATGCACGCGCGCGCACGCACGAGAGACGCTGGACACACGCTCGCTTGCTCTCTCCCTCCCCCGGATGATAAACATGGCTGTCGTGCATTGTGATGATTATCAGCGAGAGTTTGTGCGGCCGAGTGTCGCACCGAGTGAACGCGAGTAATATGGATGAGGGACGCCAGTCCCGGAGACCCAGGTAACGACGACGCTGAGCACTCTCGCGTCCCCTTTCTCTTTTTCCGCCACTGTCGTCACCAACGTGAAATCCGCGAATTTCACCTGACGGCCGACGACGGGTGTTGTTTGTGTAACTCGCTCGTTATCGTTCCCTGTTCACGCGACCCCTCGGCTTATATCACAATCATTTTCCCATTTTTCGTCCATCTCCCTCTTCCCCCTTCGATCCTGCGAACGCGAAGGTGAGTGAACCTGCTCTGCTTTGCACGTCATGTATCGCTGATTGCATGGTCCGTCACGCGTTATTTGCGCGATCGCTCGCATAGCCCCTTGACACCTTCGTGTTGTGTCCAAACGGAGCACCGTGCATGTCTCATGGGATCTACCGATCCCGTGATCGCGAAGATCCGCGCGTGCTCCCCTTTCCCTCGTTGTGACTGGGTAGTGATACCTCTCGGGGAAACGCTCGTCGGGGATCTGTCGCTATGCGATGCATTATCAATACGTCAATTTCTCTGTTGCTCAAAAGCCTGATGTTCCGTTTGCACGTTGTTTGCATATATGCCAATGCTTTTTCAACCATGCAAGGATCGTTTATATATTTAAATTCAAGTAGAACAAATTTGGTAAATTTAGACCAATTTAAACGTTTAACATTTGATACTTCACATATTTTTTAATACAGCTAAAATTTGCTTGAAATAAAATTCTTTGCTTGCGTAAATGTGAATTTCCTTTTGCAATCCTAAATAAAATGTTTGAATATGCAAACACGATTTTAAAATGTAGACATACGTTTCATCAGAAGGAAATATTTAACAGAAATGTATAACACCGTATTTATATTACAATTTATATTACAATTCATAGTAAAATAGATAATATTTATAATGAAAAAAATTTAAATAAATTATATACAATAAATTTATATACAGTTGTCTTAATTAAAAAATATATTTAAAGAATTATAAATAAGCGCCATTAATATTAATACATCTTGCATGGACTACTTGTTCATCTTTCTTGTCTTTGTATTATATCAAATATATAATTTTGCAAAAATTATAATCTTATACTGTAACATTAAATTATCTGCTAATATACTCCATATGCACAATAATTTGTTTCAGGCTGTCGTCTGGGTGAGCAATGAATGTACTTCGTATTTTAACACCGTGTGTGTTACAACGCAGACGCATAAGGGGTATAGATAATACTGATAAAAGGGACTCCTGGTTTATGAGAAGACAGCTTGGAGATGCCTCTCACATGACACATAGAATGGGTGCTTCTGCATCATCAAGCATCACCAGCGTAGGTGGAGATTCTGTCCAAGCAGCCAGACTCTCGGCGTCAAGTAGTCCGGAACAACATGGCATTGCAGTTAGGTACATTGTCAATGTTTTATACACTTACAATATTTATATGTCATAGGGTATGTTCCATTTGGCGTTCGTAATACTCACGAGCATCATTTTATCTTTGTTTAACATTTGATAAACAACAAAAATGAAATTATTCTCGCGAATATTGCAAATAGAACTTACCCATATTAGTCTTTAAATTTTCAAACAAGAGAAACGTTTTAATCAATGTGACTATTTTTAAATCTTTAAATATTTAAAGATTAATTTTTATCTTACAAGCAAGAAATATAAAAAAAAATAGTGAATTTTAAAGTATGCTGTATTAATGGACGAGTTCAAGACAGCAAAGCAGCTAGGCATGCTTACCGAGCGATTGAATATGATTGGTTGGATCTATAAGTAATAACCAATTATGTTCATTTGCTCGGCGAGCAGGCTAGCCGCTTTGTCAACTTGAACGCGCCCAATATTTTAGAATATATAAATAGGTAAATGATGATTGAAAAATGAATCATAGATTTGACCGCACATCAAACTTTCTATAGTTGTTTATTCATGTATAGAGAAAAAAAGAAGAAGATGACAGGATTTGCGACGCTACGCAAGAAATTTATTAGGAGACGCCGCTCTTCTAAAGCGTGTGATCATGGTAGAATTATTAGAGACCTGGTGTCCACATGGAGTCACTTAGAAGCAACTGCTTTGCTTGAAGAGTATGAGGCGTTAGCTGCGTTGAAAGATCTTCATGTTCAAGCCGAATTAGCTAGACCGCCAGCTGCTACTTTTAAGCAAGATCTATCGATGTTATATGATTACAAACACTGTTCCGATGTGGATCTTGTATATAGAGGAGCGTGTTTTCCCGTTCATAGAGCCGTGCTTTCCGCCAGATGCCTATACTTTAGGGATTTGCTGGCTGGTTGTCCTGGTATATATTTATCAACAGTTTATATTCTCTTCATAAAACAATAAAGTTTTTTATAGCAATTTTCCTTTTATAATATGAAAATTAATTTCATGCACAAAGTACTATTATATATATATATATATATATCTTTCATTAAAATTTACAGGATATGGTGCTAGAATATGTTTGGAGCTAAGAACTCCACATCTTGAAGTGCAGATGTTTTCAGCGTTATTACGGTATCTTTACACTGGTGATATTTGTCCACATGACGCGACTTTGGAAGCAAACCTACTTCGACGACTCGGAGAAGAGTTTGGAACTCCAAATCCACTGGAACATGATCTCAGATATTTGCTGGATACCGGTGATTATGCAGATGCCGCTCTCGTATTTACGTCGGACAGTGATTATCAAAGACCGGATAGTGGAAGTTCGGAGTATGGATTTCGCCCGAAATTAGAACTACCATGTCATAAAGCAATACTTTCCGCGAGATCTCCTTTCTTCAGAAATTTAATACAAAGACGGACTAGATCGGGCGAGGATCACACAGAAAGGGCACTTCATATACCTACAAGAATAGTGTTGGATGAAAGCGTGATACCTAAACGATATGCCAGAGTATTACTACATGCTGTGTATCTAGATACCGTTGACTTATCATTAATACTGAGAGGAAGCGGTTGCGGAAACAGCGCTGGTAGTTTGGGAGAGGTAAGAAAGTCTTGGCATAGAAATGTTTTGTACACTAAAGTATATTAATTTTACGTTAATACTTTTATTTAATAAACTTACAGGTTCAAGCCCTAACACATACGGGCCGAATGCGACCAAGTCCATTAGAAGAAGCGATGGAATTGTATCAGATTGGACGATTTCTTGAGCTTGATATATTATCGCAAGGTTGCGAGGATCTTATTTTGGAATATCTCACCTTGGAATCGCTACCGACTGTTCTCAAGTAAATCTGATTATGATTACTAATAAATCTTTTACAAAAGTTAGAAATTAGATCATATTATTAAAAAAATTATGTTATGTGCAGATGGGGCAGTCAACCTCACGGATCAGCATGGGTGCACAGACAAGCGTTGCATTACTTAAGGGAGGAATTTCAGCCGATTGCTTCGTCCTCGATTCTTCATCAGTTAGATCATGCCCACTTAGCGAATGTTTTACAGAGTCATTTTTTACAAGCGAGCGAACTTGAAGTACTGCAGGCAGTACTCAAGTGGGGCGAACACGAATTAGTACGTCGAATGGAGGATCGAGAACCTAATTTGCTTAGCCATACTGTGCATTCTGTGACGAGGAAGGGTATTAAGAAAAGAGATCTTAGCGACATCGAATTGCGGGAAATATTGAGCGAACTTCTGCCGCTTGTCAGAATAGATCATATATTGCCGCCGAATAGCGAAGCATTAGTACAGGTTTATTTTCTACTAAACATTTTAAGTTATATATTTAAAATAAAATATATTTCTTGTTAATATATTTTTTATGTTGATAAATTTTTAGGCTATTAGGAGAGGATTAGTTTCCACTCCACCAAGTCACATGATAGGAGACGAAAGAGATAATTTGAGGGTAAATGCTTGGATAAGAGGCGGAAAGAAAAATGGATTTTTTGTAAGGCCAAGGCTGTTCATGCCGTATTATGAAGAGATTAAGGTAATAATAATAATATATAATTTTCAAAGCCAGAAACACATTGATTAATGGAATATACTGAGTACTATATTTATTCGATATTAGTCCTTGGTAGAAGAACAGATGATTCAAGAAGCTGATCTAGTGAGATTACGAAGGCCACGATACGTAGCAGACATACCGGATGCGCTATACATGGTTGAGGAGAAACCAAGAGCCATGGGAACTGCTGGTGTTGATGTCCTTGCAGCTGCATTTCCAGGTATTATGACATTAAATTATTAGTGTTTCAACTTAAAACTAACATAAACTTAGTTTTTTATATATTAGTTATTGTTATTATATATACTGTTATTATATATATTGTTATTATATATTATATTTGACATAAAAACACAGACTACTTTGTAATAAGAAAGTGAGAGTACTTAAACAATATTTTTAATAATGATTGAGAAGTTGATGAGAAAATCACACACATAGATATGTTTAACTGATAATAATTGATATAGGATAAAAGATCTTTTATCTGTATTATAGTACCAGACTCTGCAACAATGGCCGCAATGCTGAAACGAGAGCAGAAATTGAAACAATCGCCTAGTTGTCAACGAGCGATAAGTTTGCCTCTTTCTTCGCGACACGAAATTAATCGGCAAGTGCGACTGCGCGTTGTCAGGGAGTTTAATTTACCCGACACTGTGGCCGATCTTCTGGAAGTAAGTCTTTCTATGCTACTTCTATATTAGTTTATAATAATTTATAGCAATAACAGTAATAAAACGTGTATAATAACATCGCGTTGGGTAAATTGGGAACAGGAAAAATCAATACGAAAACAGATGAGTATATGAAAAGGTAAAAGATTTCTGAGACAATTAAACCATAATATATAGTGCGTTTCTTTTATTAATTTCGAATTGATAGGTTTGTTTTCTATAGCTGAACTAATACACACTTTTGAAACTTACAATGAAATAGATATATGTTCGATATTTGTCGAGAGCGAAAAAAAAATTCAAATGCAATTTAGTGCAGGAATAAAAAACAGACCTACGGTTATCGCGAACGAGTGCCATAAAATGCTAAACATCTTCAAGAATTTAAATACATTTGCGCGTAGGAAGTTAAAAATAAGTATATTCTACACATAATTATTTTGTGATTGAATAAATTGTAAATAAAGATAGATAATGACTGCTTTATTGTATTGTTTGTTCTAAATTATTAATAGTTATATATATAGTCTCAAAATATTGCTTTATAATTTACAATATTTATATAAACGTTATTAATTTCTCCATTTTGTTTCGTGAATATTGATACGTATGGAATTTATTATTATCAAGAATACAAAAATTTTTAAACACGATAAATATATTCCATTGATAATGTTTCCATTTTATAAAATTAAATTGAGTCTACAAGCCTTATGTGCGTCATGCGTACTATTTACATTAAAAAGACTACTTGTTTACGATACATCTTTAAAAATATAATTTTAAAATGTCATAAATATTTATTACAAAAATATCATTAAAAATATTAGTCGCATTTTTAGCAGATACATTGCATATTGTTTGTGTTAATATTTCTATCATCAAATTAGTCTTAGCAGTTGACTTAGTCAATTGTTCTTCATTAGCTTTGGTCCTTATTATGTAATATCACCTAATATTACCTAATAATCGTCTTATCACATCTAATATTGTCTAAAAACTTTTGTCACATGTTTATATAAATTTTAGCTCTTTTATGAAGCTATCTATCAATATTTTCTATACAGTAAGATGACCAACTTCTTAAGAAGAGGGATATTTAAAAAGATTCAATATTAATTATCGTAAATTTTAATAAACACTTTTTTAATAATTGTTAATGAATCACATGAACAATATTATATTATTATATTTGTAAATAACTAATAGCACTGTATAACATCACATAAGATCACAACAAAAATTAATGAAGTTACGAGATTTTTTAAGTGTTCTTTTCGACTGAATTTTATGAAGAATATCTGGGTTTTTAAATAAAAATCATAAAATTCTTTAAATATATTGAAAATTATATTTCATACTTATTATTTTCACTTATTATTCTCAAAGAGGGACAATTCATAATCATGTTCTTAATTTGGAATAAAATTTAGAACGCGTTGTAAAGTGGAGACGAAGAGTTAAATTTTGGGATTGTGCCTAATTTTGGACGATTGTTCACCTTACTATACAGTAATTATTTTTATATCAAGAAATAGAAAGACTTTTTCTAAAAAGGATTAATTTTCTATGGATAGAAGTTTATGTCTAATCATTTTACAAGCCATCCCTTTCGATCGAATGTATGTAAGACGTGCAACATTTTTTGTTTATAATTATCGTCATCGATCCCACCTGCAAAAACGCATTCGTCTGCATCTTCCGCCGTTTGTGAAACGGAGCCACGCGCTGCTTGTATTACTTGCACCATCATGATGCACTGGTTAAATTTGATGGGTGCACATTGATTCAATTGCTCCATAAATTGGCTCTTGGGAAATGCGTTTGTGTCTACATTTAGCGATTTTAAACTCTCGATAAAAGAGTCGTAATAAAAGTCAATCATATCGTCAAGATAATCGTCGAGCACCTCCTTCCGGGAACTTGATATGAGGAAAAATATGAGGTCGTTTACACCGTAGTCGTAGACTGTCAATTGGAAGTCCACAATTTTCATATTGATCGGCTTATCCGACTCCTCGTATTTGAACATCATGTTATTTACCCAAAAATCGTTATGCACTAGTGTCGCCCACGGTTCTTCCGGCGTTACATCTTGTGTAACTCCATATTCGATTGTTTTCTCGATTCTATTCAGATAAGCTTCCGCTTCTTTCATATTTTTATAATCATTATGCGCTTTCTGTATCATATCTACTGTTGCCTTTTCCGTGGCTTCTTGTAGGTTGAATTCTAAACAAGGGAGTACCGTTTTTTTGAAAAATTCAGGTTTCTTGAGCTTCAGGCCGATTGCTATGGCGTGTAGCTTGGCTAAATGATTGATCGCAAAGTCCATGTGCACTTTGTCTAGACCTACAATTCGGTCTTGCGTTATATAATTGTAACTTTTTAGATTTTCTAAAACGATGGCAGCCTGTTCATCGAAACGTTGCGGATCTCGTAAACCTAATCTACCGCCTAAAAATTTCGGCACGATGACGCTTAGGGATTCCCGAGGGATTCCGCTTTCATTTTGCAACTTCAAAAATTCTGGTGCTACCATGCTATAAAATTCCAGTTCCTTCTTGAATGTTAACGGGCTGTCAAACAACTCTAGCAAATACGCTGACCTCGGCGGTAATTTGACAACCACGTTTAGAGTTTTCTTCTTATGATTATGCTCGGCGTTGATATTGACAGCCAGTATTATACTACCAAAGTTTTCTCCCGGATCTGTTAAATGTTTCCATTCCACATCCTGTATTCGAAAATCGGGGCCATACGTTTGCATTAACAATGTGTCCATATTTTTAACAGGGAGCATGTCGAGCGTTTTCCTAACAGAAAAAGATTTCATATTAAAGAGAGTTAGATAATTATGCAGTATAAGGACCATCCTCCAATAACCTTGACTTTGTTGTCAAGATCATGACTCCAAGTGACCTTGAACAAATTTTAGCTCGTTTGTTAAAAAGTTATTAACAAAAAAAGTTCTTCAATAAAACCTAACTTTTGGACATGACTGTGCTCCGATGAGACAAATTCTCTGCTTTAACAGCGCAAAATATTTTCATATATAATTTTTGTGTCTTTAGAGCACAGAGAATTTGTATTTTTAAAGCAGAGAATTTGCGTTTTAAAGGGAAAAAATGTGGTTTTAAAGCAAAGAATTTGTGTTTGTAAAGCAGGAAATATTTTATTATGTATACCTTTTCCATTTTTTTTATATGGATAGAAGTTTAAATCTAACATTTCGCGAAAATAAACACTAACTGTAAACACGACTACGTTGTTGTCGCCCAAATTCCTATAACAATCGAAATATATGTTACAAATATATTTCATTTATTTGTTGAAATTTATCAACTTACCTTATGATTTAAATAAGCAAATCTATCCTGAATCTCACGTTTTCGATTGTTCGTATATGTTCGTTTCAATGTGAAAGATAAAATATCATGTAAAAATTCCTCAGATATAGCATTTACGTAGGCGAAATTAACCAGTATGATAGTCAAATTGCGATTTTAAAACATTTTCTGCTTTAAAAATACAAATTCTCTGTGCTCTAAAAACACAAATTATACAAGAAAATATTTTGCGCTGTTAAAGCAGGAAATTTGTCTCATCGGAGCAGTCATGTCCAAAAGTTAGGTTTTAATGAAGAACTTTTTTGTTACTACTTTTTAACGAACAACGAGCGACGGCTAAAATTTGTTCAAGGTCATTCGGGATCATGACTTTGACAACATATGTCAAGGTCAAGGTCATTAGAAGATGGTCCCTTATACCTACTGCATAATTACCGAGAGTTATTATTTCAGAGAAAATAAAAAAAATTTTAATTACACTATGTGATTATAATTATATGTATTAAATGAAATTGTTATAAAATTAAAATAATTAAATCATGCAAATGTAAAAATCAAGCTGATATAAACCGACAGAAAGTTGTATAGTTCGTAAGATGTACGTTAAGTCGGTCAGAAACATAGATAAAATTACAAATATAAAAGTCTAAGAACAAAATCTTCAAAATCTTCTCTCTTAGTATCTGATAGAATACTTAATTCGCGAGTCAAACAATAAAATTGAAATTGAATGATTAAAGATAAGTTGTCGAATAATGCGCAACAGTCTATACAAGCTTTTGATCAGTTAACGTACATTATACGTATTTGCTACGTGGAATTTCTTGGAAACTGAGGTTAAGTCTTCTTTTATGTAGATCGGATGTTGTTTAGTCACCAATATCATATATCTCGGGGCTCTGTAAAATAAATTTCTTTTAAACTAAAACTAGAAATAATTAAGATGTATAATACATATTATCTATTTCAGTAAATTTTGAGTTTTTCCATTAAAATTTTTTAATCCTTAATACTCTTTAATTGTACACTACTTGGATTTAATGAAATGTTTTTACGTAATCAAAAAGTACAAAATGTAAGTAAATTATAGCTACAAGTTTCAGGATTGATAGAATTTATAGATTAAAAAAAAAGATGAACATATATCCGGAGAAATTGGATTTAGATATTTAATCGTTTTATTTAATAGTTTAATAGGCTTAATTAAATTAAATCTATCGCAAATATATATATATATAGAATTATTATCTCTCGTTAATCGTAGAACTGATATTTCCACAGCACAACATCAACAGTTACTAGATAATTTTGGGAAAGAGGCACATGTTTTGGATTATGGATTATTATGGATTACATATTATTTCAATTTATTCAAAATGTAAACTGAAGTAATACAATAGCTATTCCAATCCGATTTCGATGTTGTGCTGTGGATTTGTATCAAAAGAAATTCTTAATACATCAAATTTGATTTCGATCGTACAATAATTTAATAACGACCATAAATAAATTCTCTTTCCAAGTTTCATGTTCGATATTTTATGTAACTTTCTCTTTCTACATGACTTCTTCTCGTTTTTAATAAGAAAGTCACAGATTTATTGAACAAACAATTTATTGGAAAACAAATTTTTCAAATAAATATCCGTAATTTTGAGCATTTGTTAAGAGAAATATGATTCTATGGAAAATTATTAATTTTTTATTATAAATTGAAAAATCGAACATCCTTAGAACAATTATAGTTTTTTAAACGTTCGTTTGATGATATTTTTAAATATATTTTTTCAAATTCTATTGATCCTAAAGTAATTATATAATTTACTTACAGTTTTGTAAAGCTATAAATGTTATTGGGCACACGTAGATGTCTTTGTAGCACTGATCTCCACGTTTGGAGAGATCACTTTATCGTTACTTAACTTTGTGTTCTATCTTCGATATAAGGACGTACATATATTTATAACTTCCTAACGTTCACTCGCGTGTATGTTCTAGCATTAACTGTCAATATGTGAAGCGTCGCTATTTTATATCATAGTAAGGAGAGAACTTGTCGGTGGCTCCTCGCTGACTATGATTCGTTTATGCAAATTCAATTCGTATTAGATAAACTAGTCGTTTTCCTTATCTCATTCGTAACGTATAAAATGAAGCTTATAACATAATTTCAAAATGTAATAGCATCAGGGAAAACTCTAATCATAACAGTTTGATTTTTGTTACGAATGAATGACGTGGCGGTCAATGTACAATCAGCGTGAGCTCAGAAAGCGGGACGTGAACGTTCGTTATTTTGCACTTACATGGATGCAAGTGAATCGACAGAAACTCAGTTGAGTCTTTCTGGCTAGATCAATCGGCTATCGCAGCGCTAAGAGCGTACAACTTATTTATATTGTACTCGTGACACAAGAAACTTTGAGTGTTAAGATAAATGTTGTAGAATTGATATCAGCGAGTTCGTCTGTGATTAAATTATTTCTGTCTGTCTCTAAAGTGTATAAACTTTTTTAGAAATAGCAATTATAACTTTGTTAATGTCACGCTGCCAGCTCATGCCACTGCAATTCGCTTATGCTTCGCGCCATTATCGCGTAGATAACGCTCGGTTTTTACGTTTTGTTTTACACTATTTAGCGTGAATGTCAAAAAACAATGGCCATCCAAGACTTTTATGGCTCATATCGTACTGAGACATTCAATTAACTCGGTACCCTGTATAATTGTTCGATTTCGTGACTGCGACGACACTGTTACGGACATGAGCCAACATTACGTGACGTTTTATTTCTGGTAATAGCACACATTTATTTTCAGAAATGGTTACGAATAAAGATCTCTATTTATCTCAATTGTATGTATTCGTTCAGTATAAAAAAATGTTATTTTTATAATATTATATTTTTTTATTATTCTAAACTTTTTCCTAAAGTATTATATTGCAATATATATATATGTATATTTATTTATTATATATATATGTAAAAATATTACCTAAGTAGGATAAAAAAATGAATAATTAATAAAAGTAAACGCACGTGCTCAATATGTATCGCCATGTATACGTATTATTCATCAGAAACATTACTCAGCTTTTTATTTTATATCTCTTGCAGAATATATTGATATCTGATCAATATTGAAAGTAATATTGAAAGTTTGAGCGTCAAAAATCACTCGGGATATCCATGACCTATATTCCTATATTTGCGAAGATCTATCAATTCAATGTATTTTCAGAAAATCGCCATGCAGTGGAATGCTTTTCTTCGTTTTATTATTCATATCAAAGCAAATAAAAAAATTGAGAATTTATAGAAAAAATATTATAGACGATATAGATAAATTCTTTTTTTAAATAGACCGATTTAAAAAATGATAGATTTAAAAATGTTACTAGAAGACAATTGCAATTTACGAGGAAATTGAATGAGACAGACAAAAAAATGAGGAAAAACTTGAGGCAATATGTATCTCTTTTTTTCTGTGCATTATTATGTTATAATCGGTCAATAATCATTTAATTGTGAGTCGTGATTGATGTTCGCGATGATTATTTCTAGCTAATAGACTTCATCACGTTTCCACGCATATGCAAAAGCATTCTTAATGCGGAAGCTGTTATGTTGTTAGATTATCTTCTCATTCTAGGTTCTCATCCCACGAAAGCTGCATTGACGAATGTTTGCTCTTGAATGCATAATGTTATTTAACTTCACGTACGCAGGTTGCTTCAGATTTCTCACACTATCTTCGACTTCTTCGGCTAATTCAAAGTTCTTAACGAAAATTTCGCTGCGCACGATTTCCTTCGACATTGTTTCAACTTTTAGTGCGAAATATCTTTATAACTCAAGTAGCTCAAAATAAAATTTCTAAAATTTTAATTAAAGCAGAATGATAGAACAGCATAATGTTATCTCCAAATATTATTTTCGATAAATATAAATGTGATGTCTATTTACATATTTCTCAGACATAATTCTAGGCAATTTAATTTATTTTTCAAATAATAAGCGATTCCTTGAAGACAATTAATATAATAGGTTGAACTAATCTTCAGATCTACTATCGAATAAAAACACAAAAGAAGGAAAATTTATCGATATTTTTTCGCGATCGCTTACCCTTCTGTTAACCGATCGTTGCATCACTATTATGTGTGCATAAATGATACGCGATCGAGATGACACAATCGTGGCTATAACAATAAGCAAGTGACGCGAATTAATTTAAATCGCAAGAAGAACGTGTATGCCAGGCACGAGCTTAGCAGCTGCGTACCAGCGCAATTTATCAAGCTGAAAACTCGGAAATACGTTCAGTCATTGACATGTTGATTTTCCTTGTAAAGCTTAACGTTGTATTGTAATTTCATGGGAAGAATTAATATACCAACTTGAGTCCAATAGTTTTAAGAACTTCGAACTATTAAGTGACTTATTAGGAACTCCTACGCGGTTATATGTTACGCATATTAAACTGTTTATGTACAGAATATTTAATCAACATTAAGTCTCTCCTCAAGGTAAAAGATATTTCTTGTGTTCAATGTAAGAGCTCGTCGTGCAAAACAATGAAGCCAAAACAGGAAGTTTGTCATGATATTTTTTGCTTAAAAGTTACTGAAACAGCGTAATTATGATCGGAATTAATAATTAATTTTTAAGCATGCCAGACACGTTCGCAGACAAGGTTTGAGAAACGTGTTTTATATTAAAATCACATCTGCATTCACTATTCATACATTGTGGTCGTTCGCCAATTCTTATCATTCGAACATAGTCCTTGATTTTTGAGTCTGTATATCAATACCCGATATCAATGTCCTGATTATACAATATCGTTTTAACCTTCGCATTAACGAGAAGAAATAAAGATAAAAAACTATACATAAAATAATATTATAAATCTGTTATTCAAGCAAAGTAAATGAAAGAAATACTAAAAGTTTTGCCTGTTGCATGTAACTGTCGTTTTAGACACCAGCGTTTACTTTGAATGTAGATATTTAAATCTTTTACCGTATCACGAAATTGCTGAAAAACATGCGCCAAGATTCTCTCGCGTTCAATCGGAATGACTAAGAGCATTCGTACGGATAGACGTATTAATTTTCTAGACAATTCAAGACAATTATATTCTACATTTGCCTTGCACTGTTAAATTCATAATATCAAATTATACCCAATTTAAGTTTTGTTTAATTATTTCTATAAGTCGTCACTGCTCTTATACTCAATATATCATTAATTTAATTAAAACAATGAAATTAAATAATTTAATTCGAGAAAACGTATTAAATTTAACTCAAATGTATTTTATTATTTATTGAGTGCATACGTTAATATAGACGTTGTTTACTTTGAAAACTCCAAAAATGGACTGATTCACGTTTTGGCAAATATGGAAGTTAAAAATAACAAAATATCTAAGAATGTAAATTCGATGCTCTTAGGATGAGCATAAAAGCTTACCGGTCAATTGTGCATTTACTTAAAATCTTATAGCTCAGAATAGAGAGACGTAGAAAAAAGTTTTATTATATAATCAACACTTGTGTTCGTCTATCAGTTATATTTTACATACGTTACTATTAATGAGTACGTCATTTACCTTAACACCGATAATGCGATACGCGAGCGGGGCACGTTTATCAAGAATGCGATGTCATCGGCGTGACGTAGATGTAACACGTGCGTAATTGAAAGCGATTAAACAACAACGTTAAATTATTTTTTTTTTTTTTTTTACAAAGTCTTATACACCGCGCGTGGGTTTAGCACGGCACTTTGACACAGCGCAATTCGCGCGACTAATGTTGCGAGTAGACTCTCGTCGCTGTTTGACTTTGCCTCTTATTCTCCCCCTTTTTCTGCACTGGTGTTCGTATTATCTACGTCTTCTAACGCAACGTCGAATTAGACGTCCGCGCAATAGAGACGTGGTAGAATTAGCGTTCTGAGATGATACGAGATGTAAGATAATGCGCATTTTGTCTCAATGCAATGAGATGCAAACGAGTCCTCGAGAGATATCCTTCCTCTCTTCGTGAAACTGCGAATCTTTTCGAACAGCTGCGACATTGAGATTTTTCAATGTCAACGGTGTGATATGCCTATTTTATATTTACAATACTCAATCTACAAAAATAATTAGATTAATATGAATTCATGTGAAATATATAATATTTTAGGCCATTTTCCCTTTTTATTTTTTTATTATTGGCACAAGTAAAAACTCGCTGTTTTTACAAAATAAAAATTGATTACTTCGTAGGAAGAATTTTTGTCAACTTTTTCTATTTTTCTATTTTTGTTTCTATATTTTCAAAGTTTTCTAAAATGATTCCAAGACGACGAAATGATATATTTGTTAATATCTCAAAATAGTAGTTATATAATTAGTGAAAATTTCGAAATTATATTTATTTCTTAATATTCAATTTATATCCATATTTATGTTGCTGTATTGTTCATATTTACGCAATGTGAACGCCAGCAGTGTAGCCGACTTTCGATATCGGACAAATTAGCAAAAACTACGAGCAGTACTGCGCTCGAACGATGAGACGACGTGCAAGTCGATACGTATACAGATAGATAAAAACGTAGATACAGAGAACGGATATACTGCATTATATTTTATTTTAATATTTTTTATTTACCTATATTGTTTTATTTTTTTTTATTCGTAAAATATTACGCCAACGTGCTTTCGTGATATAGTTTATTACAATAACAATGCAAATATAATATTTATCCAGTATATGATTTTTAATTAGCAAAATTTTTTTTTCAGCGAGATATGTATTACAAATATGTCACATTTTAATTCAGTAAAATGTCGCTGTTTTCCTCTCCGAGTTTTTATTGACTACACGAACGACATGTACGATGATATTCTGAAGAGAGGCGCTGTTCACAAAAAATAATTTATCTTTATGTCCCGGTTTAAATGCGGTTTGTATAGTGATAGATATATACGTGGTATCGCACTCGGGGTGACAAGCGGATGAATCATGAAACGACACTTGCGACTACTACCAATCGGATGAAACGCATGCAATCTCTATAACGTAACTGGTGCAGTATTATGCATGAATAAGTGCAGAAATGTATTATCAACGTGCGACATGTTGCATCACTGTGGTGTTATGGGTAAAATAAAGCAAATCAGCAAACGCGAATCACAAGTCTGAGTATTTGAAATTATCTCTATTTATCTCTAAACAATGGAAGTTACATCATATTGTTAAATCTAATCAATCTAATCTTAAAACATAAAGCATAAAAGTTACTTTTGTTTGTTGTAATAACACTAGTCTGCGATAAAGTATTTTATTTAACAATTTTACTTGTTTTTATGTATTTTTGCGTGAACACAAATCCATTCTTTAAATTTAATTCTCACGTCACTTTGAAAAAAAAAAACGATATCAAAGAGGGGAAAAAGACGATAATTTTGAAGAGATTTTTATGTTGTAACACCGACAGCAAATTTTTTTTCTAAACTTCATTAATGCCATGCAAAAAAGATCAACTTTTAACTTTAAAATGTATTTTAATTTGTTTCGATATGATTTTTCGAAATATAGCAATTTGAAAATAGTTCTTCCCATGTAATACGTGGAAAAAGCTTTTTATTCCATTTTAATACTGCATATATTATACATACATAATGCTCGCCAAAAGTTCCAGGTCGGCTGAATATCTCGGAAAAAATGCATTTTTGAGAAAAATGTTTTAGACAAAAATTGTA